TGTCTGCTTTGCATTAATGGTCAGTACCTGTCGGAGCCAGGAGGGGGAGTCCTACAACCGCTGCTGAACACACAGCACACTGACATGTTCAGTGAAACGTGCTCTAATAGGGCTCAGGAATGTATTCTGTCAGAAACCTGAGGTTGCAACCTTTTCCAGGTCACATGTACTTATTTTCTGCTGCGTATGTTTGAACAAAGTCAGTTCTGGTACATTTGGAGAGAGATAATCTGCATCTCTGAAGATTCTTCTATTAACGTGTTCTTTCTGCTCAGTGTAAACTCACATCCCAATGCTACTAAACTGTCTATATGGATTTGGCTCAGGGCTCCACGTCAACCAGCTTAACACTTGTGTCTCTCTGAAGAACGTGAATGGCGCAGGCATGGTTTTTTTATTTTATTTAGTTTTTTAGTAGACAGTAAAAGGGTGGAGGTCGAAATCATTCCCTGAGATCTATTCTTCACTGCCATTGGGTGTTTCACATGCTTTTTAAGTTTAGTGGTATGGATTAGACTTGACAAAGAGTTGGATTAAAATCATCCGTTACTGTAGCAGTATATTAGAATTATAATGCTCTTAGCGCAGTGTGTATTTATACTGGTTTAATGCTCCACGTCCAGCCGCTGCGTTATGATGCATAAATATTGCGGCCATGTGTTCAGCAGATGAGTTCACGGTGAGAGAAGATGGTGCGATTCACCTTACTGAAGCAGCATAAAATATATATATATATATATATATATATATATCAGAAGCATACACAGAAAATCCAGTAACAGACGATTCGTTTATGAGTTACAGAGATACAGGCAGGTTGAATGTTTGGCCTAAATAATCTGATTTTAAACCGACAACCAAAAGTTTTATTTTCCAGAATATCATCAGAGCTGAAACTGACTTTCCTCCACAAAGGAAGCTCTTCAGTTTGTCTTTATATTTTGGCACAACTTTCTCACAATTCACCCTTTATAACGGAGATTAAAATGAGTAACTAATGTCATATAAATATATATAGTTAATAACTCCTTTACCTTTATGCATAAATTATAAACACATTTTTGAGTTATCAGGTTGTTAAAAATCCCTTCAGCGGGACACTGGATTATGTTTCAGATATTATTTAGTTCACTAAGTAGACAGTCTAATGGACCATTAACCTTGTGGAAAAACCTGAAATTAATTAATTAACTTAATTAATATTTATAACAGCTTTTTACCAAACATAAATGATGTCGGAGGGATATTGCACAACCTTGCAACCCGAGAGCTCCTCTTAATAATGGTTTAAACTGATCAAATAAAGTAAATGACTTAACAAATAAAAATACTATTAATAACAATATATAAGTCTTATATAATAGGTGCTTTATTATTAAAGTGTCCGATATTGCACTTTAATTCATTTTAAAGAGTGGAATCTGAGACTCATTTACACAGTAGTCTAATTTGTGCATGCGTAGATTCACTAAGGAGACGTGTAGTAAATAACTAAAAGGCTGTGGCTATTTAATGGAGCAATGCATATTGTTTATATACCACACTGCGTTTCTGGAATGCACAATCGTCTGTTTCAAAGCATATTCCACAATTTCTTTTTAAAATGTTTTATCCAAAAAGCGTGTTATTGTTGTTATGCTGAGGATTCACAGGTGTGCTGTAAAGTGTCAACCTTTCTGATAGAGTTCATTCTCAGACCGTGAACGCCTCCTTTCATTTTCAAAATTGTGACCTCCTCAGTGTTATTATCATGCTCCTTTTCAAATAAAACATATCAACTGCTTTACTTTTTCCATGTGCGCACAAACCTCCGGCCTGTCCGCTCTCAGCCCGTCTCTCCCCCTCCTCCTCTTCCTCCTCCTCTCTGCCTGCCCTCGCTGTTCCTCGGTTGTCTGTTTTCTTGAAGTGGGTTCAGGGAAGTGTTGAGGGGGCGGATAGTTTTGATTTTCTCTACATCGTGCTTAGCCAATAATGTAGAGGGAACTGTTGTGCACATCTCAGCTGGCAGACATTTAAAAGGGAGACAGTCCGGCGCTGGAGCAATTTGTATTAAACCCCCCTGGCCCCTGTCTATGGAGCGGTTAGTCTCCCACCCATCCACAGTCCCACCAGTGTACAGTCGACAGCAGTAGGTGCCTATCACCTCGGAAGGTGCCGTAGAGGAGTGACAGGATCAGATCATCGCACTTGAAGCAGTGGAGAGATGGACAGGTGAGTGGATTTGGACAGTTTCTGACCATAACATCCACGCGCAGATACATTTTAACTTTATTTTATGTTAATACTTACAAATAACCACTAACTGCATGCTTGTTATCCTCTGGTGTGCATTTATGAATACGTAGATATTAAACAAGTAAGTTTATGTGCTTTTGTTTTTGTTAAACTTGGTTTGGCGGTCCTTTGCATTATGGTTAATGTATATATAAAGTACTGTACATGGTACTTAATACACGAGACTTACATTTTTCATTCAATTATTTAGACTGATGTAATTCAAATGTACACTTTAAATGTTTTTGGACTTAAGTCTCGTTTTCCATACGGATTAAAAATAGAAGGAAAGCTGTGCCTGTGCGTTTTTACGCAGCGTAAAAGCTTTGACAGCTGTGCGTAACCCATCCAGTGTTGAAACGGTATTGGTGATGAATTATTTTCTTCTCCTCCCCAAGGATGGCCAACTCGACGCGTATCTTCTGCAGTATGGTTTTCATCATTGGGTTGCTATCCTCTCCCGTGGATTCCAAAAGAAACCGAGGTTCACAAGGCGCCATTCCTCATCCTGACAAAAACAACCCAAACGAATCGGAGCAGCAACCGCAGCCTCCGCAGGCAGGCTCCGGGTCCCGGCAGAGGCAGGGCTCATCCTCACCGGCCGACGAGGTGCTGGAGTCCAGCCAGGAAGCGTTACATGTGACGGAGCGCCAGTATTTGAAACGGGACTGGTGCAAGACGCAGCCCCTGAAGCAGACCATCCACGAGGAGGGCTGCGTCAGCCGCACCATCATCAACCGCTTCTGTTACGGACAGTGCAACTCCTTCTACATCCCCAGACACATCCGCCGGGAGGAGGGTGCCTTCCAGTCCTGTTCTTTTTGCAAGCCGAAGCGTTTTACCACCATGACTTTTACTTTGAACTGTCCGGACCAGCAGCCACCCACAAAGAAGAAACGCATCCAGCGCGTCAAACAGTGCCGCTGTATATCCATAGACCTGGACTAAAGACGCACAGAAATGTGTGTGTGTGTGTGTGTGTGTGTGTGTGTGTGTGTGTGTGTGTGTGTGTGTTTGTTTCATGCTCTTATTCTTCGCGGACAGGATTGTTGGTAGAATACAAACAAACAAACCAAACAGAAAAGGCTGTCACACAGCCCACAACGCGTGTCTGGCTCCATCTAGAAAGAAGCATCCATGAAGGCTTCCTACATGTAGGCTACAACGATTCTCTTCTTGCACAACGTGTGAACAAATATGGACATGCAACTTATAAACCGACGTTAAACTGCATTGAACATTTAACTCCTCACCAGTTTGCCAAGTTTGAAAACAAGCATCACTGCACGGGAACGCTGACATGGAATGGCCACGTTTTACGCACGGCTTCCTCGCCTCCTCCAGAGGACTGCATAACTCCGGTTTATTTAATAAGTCACGGTTCAAAACGCTTATTGTGACACGGAAACACAATCTTGTATTTTTGTGTGCATATATGTGTGTTTAACTGGATGTTTCCACTGTGTGGAATTTGATGGACGAGTGGCGATATTTGTAAATGGAAAATGTGATTTTATTTCGATACTTCAAGAAACTTTCGAGGTTAATTGATATCTGTGAATTTCCATCAGTAAAGTGTTTGATTTTTTTGTAAGTTGGGCGCATATTCAGTTGTAGAGACAACAGGCTTCTTTGTTAGTATAAATGGGGCAATGTACAGTGGTGATTTCTACAGTATCGAGGTTAGATAGTTGTAAAATGTAAAGCCATCTTTGATGTAACCGGTTTGTTTATCCCTTTAATTAAATTATCCATGAAAACATCAAATAAACGGATGTTGGAATATTGTGCATATCATGTTACTTTACACCTGATGTAAAGGAGGAAAGTGTATTCAAACAAAATGTTAAATGATGTGCTCATCATCTGCGGCTCTCCTCCTGCACGGAGAGACGTTCACGCTCAGACCTTGGCATACATTTCATCGTAAAAGTGGTCAGTTTTATGAGAAAAGATGCGGTTACCTGCTCCTATAATCCCTTGAAATGATGCCATTTAGCCTTTACTACATTTTGTTACACGACTCGCAAATGTGGAAAGAGGGAACGCCGCATTTCAGTGCAAATGATGAGGGAGTTTCTGTCTAAACGGCACCAATCCAGCATTTAATAAACAAGCCGAAAATTGGATTTCTTCTTAATTAGAAAAAGCATTATTCTTCAGCCTTACACAACACTCAATCTGTATGATTACTTTGGGATGAACTGAAGAGCAAAAGCTGTAAATCTACAGTCAAAATATTGACTGAAATTTCTCTTTTTTTAATCAGTCTATTGGTGAATTATTGATCCTTGTTGAATTTAGTTTTTAAATGACTAAGTAAAACCAGGTTCTAAATTTCCATTGCAAAGCACAGATTGACTGTTGGTATTTTTCCTGATTCAACAATTAGGCTAAAACACTGAAATGTGCATCTAATTAAATTTCACATTCCTAATGCAATCTTAGTTCTCTTAAAAGAAACCTAATGACTAATTCCTCACACTATTAAAGATAATCACTTTATTGTAGCGCTCTTCCTGGAACAATGTCTTAAAATGCAGCTTGATTGAATGACTTAACGGTGACTCATAGTTTATTGAACAGCCTAGCTGAATTATGAATCATCAAGTCCCCTTTGATGAGTCAGCTTTCTTACATAAATATCACATTTGCTCAGTGCACTGCTGGGCTTCTAAAAGCCGGCCTAATGGAAGTGTTGACAGACGAATATAGAGAGATATTGGTCCAGTTTGTTCGGCATCCAGTAGTTTATTCTTGAAATTTAAAACAATTCCATAAAATTACAGAGCACCTATATGAGAGCTATTGAAGGTTACATAAACTGACATACATACAGTAGAGGCTACAGCAGTTCCTTGGTCAGTATCAGCTCTTTGTTTTCTTTTTCAAACCCTCTGAAGTAAAACATAGCAGTTTAAAGTTCTGAAATATCTAGTTTTCTTTATACAAAATAAATGGCACACGTGAAAGACTTTGGAGGGTATAAAAGCAATTCAAGGTGCAGCTTTTACGGATACTCTGATAATGGAAGTCTGTCTGAGGTATATCAACTCACATGGCTTCAGGTGATATGCGCAAATGTTCTCAATACCCAAAATATACACTTCATCTCTCCAAAACCAAAAAACAGATTTTCAAGAAGAACAGTCTTCATTCTATTCAAACTACTATTTCTTGGAAATTAGTGGGCACAACAATATATCTTTCATCTAGCGGACCTATCAGGCAGCTTCTCAGTCGATTACATCTCATAAAAATACAGCCTAGAAGGGAACAAAGCTGACGTTATTTTGGCATAAAATAAATCTTTCCTTACATAAATAGACTTTTCTTCAACATTGCAGGAGCGTGGTTACATTTGCAAAAATTAAACATTGAGCTTAATACACTTTCTTAGAAATAATAAAGAAAAAACTCTAATAGGGTGTCAATATGAAGCAAAACAATAAATCGTATTAACAAGAAAACCATACCCTTGCATAGGAAAGGAGGTGCAAAAAAGTGCAAGACACATCTGAAAAGCATAACAGGGGAGGGTGGCTTATAGCGAGCGATGACTACTGCAAGCAGTAAAGTGCTTAAAAGTGTGGTGGACACACTGGATGCACAGCAATTTAATGAATGATTACCAAGTGTGCATACTGTATATTTAATATCTTGGGTTTAAAACTTGTTTTTAATGTTTTTAAGTACATGGTTGTGTGTGTTGGTGTGAGGGGGCCCGAGGCTCGCTGCCAGGTTCTGCTCTTCTCTGGCCGTCACCCAGGAGAGGTCAGTCTGGTGCAGTGCTACAATACAGGGAAACCTCTGCATACTAATTTGTACACACACACACACACACACACTTATATATGCAACATGTCTTCATTTGCACTTGAAGCCTCGGCGAGATCGTTCGTCTTACTCCTCAAAGCTGCACGGTCCCTGCCGATTCCACAACACGACTTATTTACAAGACTCTTAATGAGCCATGGTGAATGAGAAGCTATTAGCTACAGCAAAACGACACCGGGAACTGCTTTTTTTTTTTTTTTTTTTTACCGTTTCCAGAAAGAGAGAGAGAGAGAGAGAGAGAGAGATATCTGTTTTGTCAACATGGATTTTCCTCTCCAGGCAGGAACAACGTCTTGCCACTCTGCTGACGATGTTACGTCTACACCTCAGATAGAAATGGTTTCTCAGCTCTCGTGGATCCATAAGGAACCTCATGGATTTGTCAGCTGGCACTGTTGTGAATCCCACTGACCCCTTGAAACCTTTCACAAGCTGGGCACTCAGAGGTCACACCGTGCTGCATGAATGAGATCAACCTTTGGCCTTTAACACTCTCATCACTCAGCCATGCATCCTTGTTGCAGGCCAAGCTTCTATGAGAAAAAAGTTTGACTGGGGGGGGGTCCAGCGCTGTTAGTAGGGCAGAGATATGGCAGTGGGAGTAGTAAAGAGTCTGGTGAGGTTTTATTTTGAGTCCTTACAGGGCACAGAGGACGGTGCACTGTTGTTGAGGCAGGTGGTCAACGCAGGAGAGATGAGGCCTGCAACACTTTCTGATCTGTCATCTTCTCCGACTTTCTTACCGACAGCAGGCCTTACTTCTTCTTCTGCTGTGGCATTTCATTCAGCTGGAGGACCCGCGGCTTCCTTCTGCCGCAGCCTCTCTTTCTGTTGGCAAGAAGCACAAAAAGATTCAGTGTGTTGATTTCAGTGCTGACACAAGAAAGAGCAGCTTTCAGGAAATTCCATTTCTTTGCTGTATGCAGATCAGTTCTTACCAGACTGTTGGCATTGATCTTCTTGGTTTCGACTCTCTTCTCCGCTGTGATCTTCTTGATGTTTTCTTGAGCTTCCTTCAACCTATAGAGAAAAAAAAGAAATCCACATGGACTTGATACTTGCAGGCACGTTAAAAGTAAGTAAGTGCACGCTGAACACTTTGGAACTAAATCACTAGTACTTATGAAAACAATATAAAGTCAGAAGCCTCTCATCACTGTGACCTTGTGAAGTTGTTTGTAAGAGCAAGACATTTAAGTATCTCCCTGGGGCACCCTGTGACATGGAGCCATGCAGAGTCCACACACACACACACACACACACACACACACACACACACACAGATCCTCTCAGGAGTTTGCGGTCAGTGAAAGCCCTATAAGTGAGAAGCAGTAGAGAATGACAGTGGGTTGATGAGATAATGAGGCAGCCTTTAAAAAACACTTGGCTTTTATGAGTGCGCAAGCAGTATTTAAAATAAAGTTAATTGTACATAAGCACAATCAGCTGTGAGAACTGTGAGACACGATTACCTAGTAAACAATTAAGAGAGAGCACATGGATGCAAGGCAGGGCGCTCAGTTCAGCGTGGAGGACGTTAAATGGAAGCTCAGATTCACGATACGGCAACTTCTGCGGTCCTGACGTTGTCTCTGCATGTGCAGCGCTCTTGCCCTTTGGGCCTGCATGTCCAGCGTCATTACAGTGTTTATCAGCTCTCCCATAACGCGCTGCCTTTAACGGCCACAGGCCCCCATCCGCACACTAGTAAAGCCAGCCAGCCGCCAGGAGGGTCTGCTGTCCCTCGGTGGAATCCCCCCCCCCCACCTTGACGCCTCAGGTCAGGGGAAACATCATAAATTCAGGCCCCAGTCCTTCAGACGAAGGGCCGAGGCCTCAGCTACTCCCGTTTGCCTCCTCTTTGATTGCCTTTCTCTCTGCTTTAATTCCAACCCAGCATCTGCTCATCAGCCTTGCGCAATTAGTGCTAATTTGACGCTATGTCTAGAGGTCGTTAGGACACCAATCCGAAGGTGACGGAGACAAGAAGTCTCACCCATGGATCACATGGTTAAACCTCAGATTGTGTTTTGAAGAGTTAGGGTACATCAGCTGAATGAGGAACCAAATATTTTAGCATCTTACAGAGGATATCAGCCAGGTTTTATGACCTACACTTAAAGGAGAACTCCAAGTATTTAGTTTCGCACTTTCATTAAGTTGGGAAACAAAAAAAGGGGTAGATAAGGTAGAGTTTCAAGAATCTGGCAGAAATGTTTCAGACTTCAGGAAGCCTCATCAGAGCCACAGAAGACATTAGACTCTTTCACAGAGAAATTAAGAAATGGAGCAACCCCACCAGACTCCAACTCACCTCTCTTTGGAGATGTTCTTGTTTTGTCGTATCCAGGTGTTCTTGAAGTCATTGCAAAACTCGTACCAAAGCATAAAAACGTGACTTGGGGCTACGTCTTTCTCCCCAGACTTTGGTTTCACCCCAAAGTAGCTCACCGTGTCCTGGAACCTGGAGTGGAAAACAGAACAGAGGCACAAATAGTGTTGTCTTATCACACACAAACAGTTATAAATAATCTCAGACATAAATAATAGTGTGGTTCAGTGAGCCACTCTAGATTTACAAGCAAGGTCAAAAAGTACAAGGGCCGTTAGGTGTGCATGCTGAAGAAACAGACAAACAGAGAGTAAAAAAAACTGTCCTATACAGAGACAGCACACAGAAAATGATGGATGTAGAGTTCGACAGTGAGGCGAGAAACAGAGCTGGAAGGAGAGTGTCCACCCTGCTGGGCCACGGGGGAGAGCCAGTAGCGACGGCTCCATTATCACATTGACCTCCACAGCCTGCAGGGGAAGACTGCCAGAGGAGACGGAGACAGCCAAGAACAGACTGCGGCTCCTCCAGACACAGCAACACACACACTGCTGTGAAACTCCTACAGCTCCGGGAACATATTTACTGGCAGACAATCAAAGATGTGAATATGATATGATATATGCACATGTGAGCCCGCTCGGGCAGGTGTGCACACATACAGAAAACATAGGAACACAGATCTATGGGAATAAACAGATTCTGAATTTTCAGTTCACTGGGGCAGACTGTGGAGCTGTTGTAGGCCAGCTCCTCAGTCTAATTCAATTGTAACCAAATCTGAACTCTTTGCAAGGCTCTCAGCGGCACACACAAGGCATGAAAAGCAGCCTGCTGCTTCAGATTCCCTCCCTAACCCAAACATGAAAGACATTTTCTAGCCCTGCCTGTCAAAGGGCTGATAAAAGGGGGCTATGATTCAAGGGATGCTCCCTGTCCCATTGACACCCAAGATAGGCTCTGACCTCCAGATGCTAGGTGGCTTTTTGCGATGCTAATCTAAGACACGTTCATGTGGAATGAAACGGTACAATATGCTGCCCAGACGGCCTGCTAAAAGCTGGGGGGGGGGAATGGGGGCTTCTGCACGAGCCTGCTTCCCATTTCCCAGTGATGCGTCATTTTTGCTGGGATGCTCACAAAAAAAGTCAGAGTGCTGTAGATCATCCTGTAAGCTACAAAAGAAATCAGAGGTTCTGGGATGTTTAGATTGACCAAACAGACCTTCTGTCCCAGGTAGCTTTGTTGCAGCCGGCCTGGTTTCGCATGACGAACAGGGGTCTCTTCCACATCAGCTCCTCTCCTGACCCTGGGTCATCATGTCAAAGAATGCACAAATCAAGCAACGGCGCTTTTTCCTTTTACCCTCCTGAGCATAATGCAACAAGCAGATACACAACGGTTCACTCAAAACAGATGCAAACACACACTCACACATGCGAGTATACCTACGAAACGTAAACACAATCAAGCGGGGCTTTGTTCGTCTGCGAGCGCAGAACAATTACAAACGTACACACATGCACACAAACACACACTTCTTTAATCTATGCTATGATGCCATTGCCGTGAGAGGGTTTACTGCGGCACCCACAGCCGGCATTCCTCACTGACAGCTATAAAAAAAGACCCATTACAAAACCATGAGCAGCCGTGAGAATCAGGGAAATATTTGGAGAGGCAACTCTGGATTCCTCTGTTTCCCCCAGTCAAAAGATTACAGAAGTGAACTCCATGTTGTTGGCTGATTCAGCAGAGAGCCTAATTTGTTTTGCGCCATTGTCGTCATACAATACCCGGGTAGAATAATATACCAACGAACATCTATGAAACCATAACTGCATGGTGACGGTAGAGGAGGCAGTTGGGCCAAAGGAAATTGAGCATGATGTGGGAGAAGGGAACTTAATGAGACGGAACTGAGGACAGAACCAGAAAACCTCAGTGGAACCCAAACATGAAGCAGACAAATTAGGAATGCATGTTGAGGAAAAGGCATTGGCACCCGCCGCCGATGGGACACACACTGCCCAAATAACGCTGCAAGAAGTTAAAAACAACCAGAAATGAATTTGATAGAGATGTACTAAATTTCATGGCAATATTTGTTGAGATATTTTAGTCTTTTTAAAAATGATTAAAGCTACACATATTTGATATTAATGCCAATACGACCAATACTAAACCCATACATTTTACAATATCTTACTTTGAGGAATTTAAAAGTGTTTTCTAAAATGTTAAACGTCTAAAAACAAGCAGCCATAAAACAACTTTGTCTATATAAAATAGTAGAATAGAATCTTTAGTTGAATCTATATCAGAAACTGATCAAATAGGGAAGTCACGTCAATTTTATTTTTATATGGACGCAAATTTAGGAAGAGAACTAATCTGACCTGACATTCAATTCAAAACTTTCGGTACTTTACTTTAGCTGAACCAATTAGTCAATTATTGTCAATTTGTTGATTGACAGAATATTACTAATCAGCAACTATTCTGATAATCGATTGATTGTTAAAGTCATTTTTCAAGTCCAATTCTTCTGTAGCAGAGACAAACCAGCTATGTGAAGTGTCTCTGGAAATTGTGTTTCGAATAGAGTCACTCTATCATAAAGAGTCAGATGAGGTATCTTACATGGAGACTGTAGCCATATTTATATATAAAATATACAGGGAGTCTGTGTTTGAATTACAATTCCTGAAAAGATGTGTGTTATTGCATACCGAGTCTGTATTCTTGAAATAGAATTGCGCTGTGACATTTTTCAAGCAAGTTTATCCACGTTAACGACATTTTTCACAATTTTGTCACATTTTATAGACTGATAATGAAAATAAAAAATTAGTTGCAGCCCTATTCAACAGTTTTCAATACTCGCTGCTACAGGCACATTTTGGCTAGAACCAGCTCTAATTCTTGTCAATATCCTGGTGCTGATTCACAGCGCCCAGTCCTACTCACTGGTGGTTGCCTTTGACTCGCAGGCAGAGGTATTATGTAGCACTAAGGACGTGTTGTCTATTTCCTTCATTAACACCGAGTCGTAATGCTGCGACCACTGCTGCTGTTGTGCGATGATCCCTCATCCAGCGCAGATGTGAGGGCCCACCCAGGGCCCGGTGAGCCCGCTGACGCCTAAATTCATCAACAGCGTGTCACTTTTACGAGGTGGCTCTGTGGGAACCTGAGAAAGCCCCCCCCCTTCCTCCCTCCTGCTCTACCTAGCGCCAGTCAGCCAGCCCCCCTCTTTAGATGAAATTAAAGGAAAACTTCATTAAAAGGCAAAGGTGCTGTCAGCTGCGGGGCCCTTTTGATCAATATTCCCCTCCAAGTTCAATGCCTTCATTACAGTGGTGTCACTCATGCACAAGATGGTGAACATACACACATACACACACACGTTTAAGTCCAGTTCAACAGATAGAGATATCACTATATGGCAAGGGCGGGGGTGAGGGGCCAGGACAGAGAACGAAAGGTGCAGTAGTCCCTCAGCGATTCTCTTGGCATAAAAACAGGAACATGAAACAGAACAGTCTGGATCCATTCGCTGAGTTATAGTTTTGTCCAAAGCAATCAACTTTCTAATTGTTTACAGTTTCCATTTTCCTGCGTCCGGCATCTTTCACTTTCCCCTTTATGTGCTTTCATGATTTATTTTGGAAGTGGGAGCGTTACGATATAAAGCAAACAATTCTGCTCTCTATCCAAACAAGGCAAAAATAATCTATTTGCTTTGTTTGTCTACTCCACCATCTTTTTCCAATATGAAATGTTCCAGATATGATTTCGCTCGGACAGCAAGCGCCGTGGCTGCCAGTGTGTCTCACGCCTATAAATCAGATGCCTCTCAGAATACTCTTGGGAGTCTCCTGCACAAAACATGGCAGATAAGAATGATAGGAACTGCAGGGGAGGAAGCACAGGGCGTTCAAGCTGAAAATACAGGTTGCTGCACGTTGTGTATGCATAGAAATCCACTGCGGTTTCTGGTGAGCATGGGCATCTTTAAGACATATCCATGAAATAAGCGCAAGTGTATTAATACTTTACATATTGCATATGTAAAGTTGGGCTCAATCTGGAAAAATAAATCACATCCAGCAATTCCTGTCTAGTCAAAGTTGGCTTGCACTTTCGGAATTTCTCAACAAGTCAGAGACCTTATCAGCTGGTGCTAATAACTGTATACAACTATACAAATAGCAAGCATTAGCACTATCAGATGCCAGCTATGTTATCTATGTATGTGAAGCATGCTAAATAATTCAGCACTGGCATGTAACATTTGCAATTCATAACACTTGGCAGTACTCCCTTGTTGAGGGATGAATTCACAGGAAATTCTAAATATTTTCTCTCCAAACATAATCCTGCATTCATAACTTTAAACACATCGCACGAGTTGAGTTTGTTGAAATTGGGTCTCCTACCTTTTCTGTGCTACATTGAGTCGGTCCTCTTCAGCTGAGTGCTCCTTTTGAGCTGCAAAAAAAAGAGAGAAAATATGAGATTAAGACAGATCATGGGGCAGATTATGGGGCAGATAATGGGGCTTTTGGTGACAGCCACTGAGAACTGATCCCAGGAGCACCGGCGTAGTCCAGAGGGAGGCGCTGTGTTCATTAGCCATCCTTTTAGTTGTAAAGTTTGGGAGAAACGAAGAAGAAGGGCTCTGGCTTGAGATGTCATTGACGCAGCGAGCGTGTTATCCAAGTCACAGTTAAGCACATTGTAAAGTTTGACGTGCTTCTGTGCGTTGACGCATGAGAGTGTCAGCCTCTGACGCCCGGGCTTGGGGCGGGGAGCGGTGGTCTGTTTGCAGAGGTGTGTGTGTGTGTGTGTGTGTGTGTGTGTGTGTGTGTGTGTGTGTGTGTTTCGACATACATGTGCATGTTGTGAGCAGAGCCGAAGCAGGGGCGCAGGGGTGAGCAGAGAGGCTTGGGAACTGGAGGCTCCTGTGGACTCCTGCCATGTAAAAGTGTCTAAATGCAAGGCAGATGTGTGCGGCGGGCCAGGCCGAGGTGCAAGAATTTATCTAGGGCCAGAGAGTGCCTGTGATCTCAGATTTATTGCATTTTTCCAGATTCATCCTTTTTACAATGATGGGGACCTTTCCTACTTGAAGATTTAAGAGCGGGAAGTCTCCAAAAAATTGTTCAAAGGCAGGTTTGGGGGTCTTTTGGGAGAAGGTAAGATGGAGCCTCTGACCAACCACCCCTTTTACTTTTACTCTTTTTTTTTTTTTTAAACATGTATGTGGGCAAGGGGGCTGAGGTAAACCTAATGAAGGGAGGTTGTGGCCATGTCTGGGATAGAAGGAGGAGGTGGGGGGGAGCAGAGGGGCCGTGACCAATGGCGTTAGTCTCAGTGGGGGTCAGGCTGGCGCCTGAGGTACCCCTCTGGTGCGACTGTGCAGAGGTGGCACTGGAGAGAGAGAGTGGCCGAGAGAGAGAGGATGTGTGAAGTTTCTCTTCCTCCGCTCCCTGTGTAAACATGAAACCAGTAGTCGCTAACTAGAAAGTTATGAGATGTGCATGCTGAGAGGGACAATAAATTAGGGCTTTAAAACTCTGACACACTTTTCCAAACCGCCGCTACACCTAGCAGCTAGATAACAAAGAGCAGTCTTAGAGGGATGCTGAGGACCTTGAGGATTTCCACGAAGCATCCCTCTCTGTTTTCCTACGCCACACTCTCTATCTGAACACCGAAAGACTTCATCAAAAACAGGCTCCTTGGACAGTTGTTATCTGGAAAATCTACTCTGACGACGTAATTCACGGTCATCTGAAATAGTGTAACTTTTTGTTGTTGGGGCCTGAGTCACTGACAACAAAGAAAAGCGCACGGATGTGTTGATGCACATGTATTCCCTAAGAGAGCCAGTGGAATGAGACTGACACAGGCTGAGATTAAAAGCAGGGATTTGTTTTCAATTAGTCGTGGCTTGTATTCAACACGAAAAATATGCCCGTCAGAGTATCCACGGAGGTTTCAAAGAGACCCTATTAAAAAGGGAAACAAAAGAGTGGTTGATTAGATGTCAAAAACCACCGCTGTCTGATCAGAGAGGCTGTTTATTTTAATTTTAACTTAACATCAGAGAGTAACTCTGACAATATACAATACAAGAAAAAAGGTGAACGTTTCAGATGGTAGGGAGGCTGAAAATCTGAGCAAAACCAGTGACGGGACAAGCACAGTTACAGCCTTACGAGAAAATGGATCACTGGGTTTCAGAGGTATCCCCTGTTAGATCTAGGAGAGATCACACAGGCAAGTTTAAAGAGGCAGAGCGCAGAGCGCAGGGCGTTTGGGTTCACCTGCAGGGCCTGCTGTGAGCTTCTCCACAGGCTGGGTTACAGGTCAGTGCAACTCAGAAACACAACTCTCTCAGTGCAAAGTCTTTATCTGCCGATTCTCTGGTATACTCTGATCCTCTTGTATGAGTAAGAACTTACACTATGCTGTATTTTTTTTGTGGCTTAGCGGTTCATTTAAATTTAAAATCATGTGTCAAACACATGCGTCTGCGGTCAACCTCCTCAGCGTTTACCTGGGTGACAAATTCACCCATTTCGCTGATGAGTCGGAGTATAAAAAGCCTCAGACGGTCTTTGATGTGAGAACTGTTGCTTTGTTTTGCCTTTTGAAGTCATGGAATCATCACGAACAATGATTATAAAGCGGTCCTCCCAAAGCATGGGCAACGCGGCTCTAGGAATCCTGTTTATGAAAGAAAGGTTTACAAGTATTCCACTGGAAAGTTTATGCTCAAGATGTGCCTCTGCGAACTGATGCCATTTTGTAGCCAGTGGCAACTGCGGCGGTTTTAAAAGCTTTCAAATATTCATTGATACTGAGCAAAGCTTTAGGGAGGCTTTGGCACTCAGAAGTAGTTAAGGTGGATAAACGTGCTTGAAAAATGTCACGGCACAATTCTATTTCAAGAATACAGACTCGGTATGCAATAACACACATCTTTTCAGGAATTGTAATGCAAACACAGACTCCCTGTATATTTTCATATATAAATATGGCTACGGTCTCCATGTAAGATACCTCATCTGACTCTTTATGATAGAGTGACTATTCTCTCTCTGCCCTACTGCAAGTAATGCAGGCCAATATACCAATGTAGTCTAGTCCCAGTGTGATAGGGAAACTATGACTTGGATACAATATTGTGACTTGATGCTCATCAACACATCTAGTCTAGTAACAAAGCATCTAGTCTCTAGTCTCTAGTGGTATCTAGCCACGTGGATAGTTTTGGTTCTTTTTTTCCCGGGTTTTGAGATATCCACTTCTCGGATTGTGGCCTTCACAGCAATACAGTACAGAATTTTGTTGATGATTACATTAAAAAAAAATTCTGGTTGCATAGTGGTTCAAGTTGCTTACCATACAAAATGTTTCCAGTTCAATTCTTTGTAGCATGTCATACTGTACCCATTTTTCTCTCTCTCTGTTTATTGACTGGCGTTCAATTTATCATATACATAAACTATCTATACACTATGTATGTATGTATGCTCATGTCATGTTTTTACCTTCTTTTTTGTTTTCTGGAGAGAGAGCCTGTTGTAAATGTCGGTGAACCAACCTTTTAAGAAAAAAAACATTGTGCTAAAGTTTCCTTCTGGTCTCTCATGTGAACTGTAATCTACACTAATCTGTTGAGTCCACAGGCTGCAGTACAGGACACAGTCCTGTATAAAAATAGCAACCTCACTAAGATAAAGAAAAAAGTGGCAAAAAACAGGTAACATTTCTTTGAATGCTTGCATCCCGAAGTCAGACAGCACCAAAAATATGTGAGGATTCTCAGCCAAAGGCATCAAAGGAAGACCTTCGAGGCAGAAACTTTGAGCCGGTGGATTTAAAACTGAATCAAGTGATGTGACAGCAGGAGAGAGAGATGGAGCCATCTGTGGCAAACTAAGGTTCCTTAATGGCATTCACTCAAATACAGAGCAAGGTTTGTGTATAATAAAGCTTTGGTCAAACAAACGTAGAGCAGCACGTAGGTAACTCTGGAAACAGTACACACAACCAAAAGTACTACTGGTGTTTAAATTCTTACACTACAGCACTCTGCAGAACAAAAGTAATGCTGGCTGAAAGGGACTTAGATTCTGTGCACCTTGCTTTCTTGGTAGCCACTACACCTATAATGCAGGCTGGGAAGGAAGAGAGCAGGACCGGTGTCTCTGGGTCAGAAAGGGGACAGACGGCGAGATGATCAGAGCGTGTCGGGGGAAGCTCTGCTCCTGTCCCGGTGGTCCCCAGCCCTGACACACTGAAGCCGGCGAGTCTTTACAAGGCCGCAGCCAGAGATGTCCCGCCAGCTTTATGGCATCCGAGAGTACATGAGAACCATGTTAGAGGCAATGTGATCCCTTCTACAGGCCTGTAGACTCCTGTCCTCATGCTGTCTTACAGCGCACCGAGACGCCCTCTCCCAGCAAGAACCAACACACGCACACGCGCACGCGCACACACACACACACACACACACACACACACACACACACACACACACACACACACGCACTAAGACGCAGCTTCTGCACCACCCAGCTGACTGTCTGACAGGCAAAAAAACATAATTATACCTTCCTCTTTTTAAAGGTCCCATGCTGCGTGTCTGGGTGAAAACACGGCTTTAGTAGCTCTGTAAGCTCGGTTTCATGACTATCTCCATGGCTATAAATCCTCTGACCAAATGAATGCTGCAACTTTGAAGATGCTAAGAATTTTTTTTTCTTCGGGGCCCTTCACAACTTTATATGAGACGGACTGGCTTATGGGATGGTCTGGGGGCAAACAATCGGCGAGAACTGGAGCTGCATGCATGACTTGCGGGGAGTGGGAGAAGATTAAACAACTCGTGCCTCCTCTTGACTGACACAACTCTAATTATCTCAGTGGTAGGAAATATGCTCTGATTACTATCAGTAAAAGAGAACATAAAAAGATTTCACATACAGCATATTTGTGTATTTGAGGGGGAATCTGTGATTTAGTACATTGTGTTAAAGTGGTAATCAATGATTTCCTAATTTGTTGTTTCATTTTTTTGCTGTCAAGGGTCGTTGCTGAGTTGTTTTGGCACTGCACTCTTCAGTTTCTATGTCACATGCATCAATGTATCTGTTATTTTCTTTCGAGAAACATTATGTAAAATGTTTTAACATCTAGACGCTGCCCCCAGTTACATCAATGATCTCCTCCTTCCTCATTCCACTCAACTACTCCGATCCTCAAATCTTGGCCTCTTATCCGCTCCCTGCCCCAACTGCAAGGCAAAACATGACCGCGTCATTACTGTTTCAACCACAACCCCCTGGAATCATCTTCCCCAATCACTCAGATTTGCTGAATCTTTGGACTGTTTTAAGCCGCTCCTTAAAACACATCTCTATAGGCAAACCTTTTTACACATCTCCTTGCCTGTCTTTTTTTTGTGCATTTCTGTTTGGTCTTGCTCCTGTGTTTCATTTTATAACTTATTCTTCTCTTATTTGACTTATTTATATTTATATTTGTGTGTGTGTGTGTGTGAAGCACTTTTTAACAGGGTATTTCAAATGTGATAAATGAATAAAGCTTTACTCACTTTCTTCATAACCTACACAATTAAAGGGATATTTATTTACAAACATTTTAATTTAAAAAGTAAAAGTAAAACTACAAAGTAAAGAGAAAAATGGATACAATGTTCCCATAATCTTTCTGTGTCTATAGTTTTGATAAAAAGTCTTAACTTGACTCACCGGCAGAGATAAATCCTTCCATCTTCTCCTTGAAGGGCTGGAGGTTTTCCTCTGACGAGTTAGCACACACCTTCTGCACGTTCTTCTCACAAGCTGGTAGAGAGAGCAGAAAAGAGAATGGAGGGAAAGGATGAGTGACATAACAGGCGGAAATGCCTCTTCATTAATGGAGAGGAGTCCTTCAGGAATTTAAAACAATTATAAAAACTAAATAATAACACAGGTTCATCAGAATGGGGTGAGGAGAAAGACAAGATCATTTAAAGTAGGAGATGTTCATTAAAGTAGAAAAACTACTATCTATGTCTTATTCCCCAAATTTTGAGTTATATATTCTATTTTGTTATTATCTTCTCTTCCTGTAACTGTATTCTTTCTTTTTTTTGTAAAGTGTATGAAGATGCTGTGATTTTGCACTACTTAGTAACTAAATATGCCACCATAAAAAGCTGCAGACACACTATTTTCCCCTTTATTTTTGTTATTTAGTCTTTTTATCCCTTGATCCACTCGTTTCGGACATTACTGGGCGAAAGCATACCTTGGTTTACAAAATCAGTAATGGTTGAATGTTGTTTTACATGTTGTTGCTGTTTTTGATGTCTTAATATTGTACATGTGAGCGCAGCAGATGTGTTTGCTGTTTGTGGATGAGGTTTTTCGTGCGGCGCCAAATGACCAAACTCAAACGAGCTCAGAGGAAACAGCCGTGACTGAGCGTGTTCCAGCCGAACCTTCCCCATTTCCTCTCAACTGTAAGCCCGGGTTACTATACACACACACACACACACACACAGACGCCTGCTGAAAGAACTTTGGCACATTCCTCCAACCTGTAAGTCATTAATGGCCGCAATAAATACCTTCACTTGCTTATGACTGCATAGCTAAATAGTTCTGCAACACAACAAGAGCATTAACAGGTCTGGCCGCCGTCTCACTTCACTGCGTCGCTGCTTTTAGATCAGAGTTTGGCTCTCATATGTTTGGAGCTGCTGCACCTGCAGCTCCGTAAACTCAAGCCTATTACATCTTTTATTTATTGGCTATCTTAATAAATCAAGACAAGAAACACGACATCTGAGCATTAAAATTGAAGAGTAACTACGTACAGCCACACAGTCTGGATTCCAGGACACTTTTTAAATCGAGGATAGTGAGAGCCAGCAGTTATCAAAATAAAAAACAGAAATCAGCAACCATACAAACATGACAACCAAAATATCCTGTTTGGACGAACCGTATTTCCTTACCAGAAATCCCCCAACTCAAAAGGACCCATTAAAACAGTGTTCAAAACAGCAAGTCTACAATTTAGAGGCGGCTCTCTTCCAAATGTGGTCCAGACAGCAAAGGCCGCAAGGAGGAAGCCCACAAAAACACAGCAGCTGTAAAGAATAAAAACTAAAAGCTCGCATTTGAGACACTGTCTTGGAGAGAAAATACATTTTTTAGGAGTGCATTGAAAAGGAGGATTCTCCTTCAAGTGAATGACTGACGCCATGTATCGGGGTAGGCAAGAAGACCTCTGAGCTCGGCCTTTGCCTTAAATATTAGAATATCTTTATTGGTCACACATAAAGCCAGAATGTGTGTTAATGGAGCAGTGAATGTTAACGTGTTGCTGTTTTGCACAAACAGTCCCACAAAGTTTGATGGGACAAACCAAGGGAAATCAGGTTCTGCAAAAGAGAAACTTGTGGTGATGCTCTAATATGTGTTCATATCTCACGTTTTTTGAGCATTTAAAAAAAAAGGATTAAAAAAAAATTGTATTTAAGTAATTGTACATAATTTCTGCTTTGATGAGCTTAATAAATAGATTTCATAAATTCAATTTTGAAAAACAATTTTTTTTCCCCCATTGTTCATGTGACCTTACTAATCTTTACTTTCTTTGGAATATTTTTTATTTTGTGTATTTCTTACAATTCGGAGTGTGTAATTTTGACTAAATAGCATATAATATATAACAAGGACTTAGTAACAAAATAAAGATAAGCCCATTCATATCTACAAAGACCTTCTGACTGCTTAGAACTGTTACTTTAGATATATTATATATGTCTTATTATTACAAATATAATTAGAAGGCCAGGGATAGTCTTAATTCTCATAATTAAGTAAGAGATAAACAGCATTTATATTTTGGCTTATCAAAAAGAAATTATGCAGATATAGATTAAATAAATACATTTGAAGTTAATTATACACTAAAGATCTTCATACAATGTCATAGGAAAATCATAGATTTCCCTGGTTACAGTGACATCTGATTAAAAATTTATGTTTAATAACTGTTTGTGACCAGTGAGTAACACACAGCTCATTTTCCAATTTACACCAACAGCTACAGTGTCGACCCTCGGGCTGCTGGTGGCACAGTTTGTCCCATGCCTCAGTAATTTTTTTTTATGTTTGCACATCTCAAATATCATTATGTGTCTCACTGATATGATGATATCATATATATTATGATAGATAAAAAATGATTATGTGTCACACTGCTAACTTGCAGATTCCCTAGACATTTTTTGCACAGCTCTTCACTCATTTATTTGAGTATTCAGCCTTATTGAGAAAATTGTCTCTCCTTTTATACTTGTATATATTGTCTCTTTTTATTTTCTTTATTTTCATCTTTATTTATATTTTTCTATGCTTAACTATTATGCACCAACTTAGGCAAATTCCTTGAATGTGAAAAGGCTCTCTGTCCAGTCATGTAGCCACAGAGGACTATTTTCCCACCACAGACAGACTGGATCATGATGGGAGCCACAGTACCAATCTTTAAAGCCCTTCCACTGTTACTACCAAAGGAAAACAGATGAGATTACAGCCGGTGCACTCTAACTGCTAATGTATTCTCCATCAAATCACTGAACAGAGGAACATTTCTGTATGGCTAGAAGTCAGTTGTAAAACCAGTCTGTCCGTCCTGACAGACATTAACAAATGTATTTATTATAAAGTGTTTTTTATGGACTGTGTAAACACACTGAATCAGAGCTAGTATCCTGAGGCATCCGACACTTACAAACATGCATCTACATCCACAGAGGAATCATTGCCCAATGGAGGTAACATGACAACAAGTTGTGGGTAAAGGGTGGTGGAGCAAACGGGAAGAAAAACAAACAAGAAACTTCTGCTCCAGGATTTACCCTGTGTGGTTTGCAAAATGGGTGACTTTGATGTCAATAAGTACTTATGATTTCACCACAGTAAGCAAGAGCCCCCACTGCAGCTACCGGGAAATCACAGCACACCAAGACAATGCGCGACTGTCTGTGTGTGTGCGGATTTGAGAAAATGCTCAAACAGTGGATAAGGAGCGGATGCGGAGCACCACAAGATGAGAGAAACTAGCTGAAGAAAGAAGAAATGTGGCCGTAACGCCCCGCCACCTCCCGTCTCTGTAGCTCTGGATCGTTATTAAAAGTTTATACTGAGGGAGCAAACTAGTAGACAGTAAAACACATCATATTACACAGGTGATTTCATTTTGTGCAAGTTGTTCCTACAAAGTTTCCAGCTGAACTACAGTTCCAACTAATGCAACAATTCATTTCAAATATCATTTTCAAAAATCAACTTTTCCTTTCAGTTCTATAAATGCATGTATGTAAAATCAGTTGGTGAACCTCTTCAGCCTTGCTGTACAGTAATTTCTTTTTATCTGGAGGTATTATTTCACTTTTTTACCTTTCATCAGAGGTTAAACCAGTACAATGCTTGAGCCCTGGCATATTCTAGTTATTTATACCTGGAAAAGTGAATTCTCTCACTGATCCCCAATTATCTCCAAACCCAGCAGTCCATCACACATCACTTCCAGTTCGCCTTTCTAAGGGATGAAGCCTACCATTTCCCTCCTCGGTGAGGCCAGCCAGAAGACAGCTTCTGTAGGGCAAGGTGAGAAACACTCTCCCCTTTCCACTCCACATAAATCAACTTGAATTCATAAACCTATAACCCTTCTCCTAAATTTCTGCAGGGGAATACCACACTGACAGGTAGAAACTTCAGACAGGACTCACAATATGAGGTGAAGCATTAACCTTTGTGGATGCAGGGAGCATCAAAATCACCCTGGTGCTGCCTGATGAGAGAATGGCTAATGCAATGATTAATTTATTGCCTCACAACAAAATCTATCAACAATACTAGCTCAATGTGTGAAGAGTCTTCTTTGGTAAAAGAAACTCTATATCATGTTGTATTGTTAAATAAAAGAAGCTTCCATCAACATATTTTATGAAATATATAAAAAATTCTGACAAATTTGATTATTATTTAAGACCCTCTTAGTTTAGACTTTTCCCTGAACTGCCATTTGCAACCAATCACAGACACATACCCCAACGATTAGCGTTACTTTTGTCTTGTTTAGTCAGACGACTGTACTTCAGCAGGCCGACTTCACACATGCCGTTCCGAGCGGAGCCTCCGTCGTAAAACAGAGCTCAGGCTAAAGGCCCTGCCTGAACCTGACATTAAAGGCCATTTAAAATCAGGACACTGTCTGATTTGCCACAGTGATGAATGCCTAACCCGGGCCAGGCCTTCTGTGAAACACTAAACTCCCCTGAGCAGCAAATGAGCTCTGACTGTTTCTTTTTATTTGATCCTATTTCATTCGGTAGCGTCCCTGCCTCTCTGTCCGGTCCAATTACACGGCAGTTAAAGGAATCTTTATGTAGGTACTCACTGGTCTGAGAGTGGTAATCTTCAGAGTTTGATCAGCAACTCCTCGTGATAGCGCTGAAGTTGTACTGGGATTTCAAAGATAATCTTTGATTTGGGTGCTGGGTTCCAAAGCTAATTGCACTTTTATACATGATTTGAGACAGAATAAAAGATATTTGATTTTATTGGGGCTGGGAGTCCTACAGTAACTTTAGGTCCTTGTGGCCTCCCACTCATCCCTCTCCCCCCTGAGAGGAGCACAAAGAGAGGTCATCACCCTCTGTCCAAACAGGAAGCACCATCAAAAGAGGATCATGTTTCTGCACAAGCCAGTGACGGAGAGGGCAGCCAAGACGGACGGGGACCGGCTCCTGAGCATCTAGACGCTGCACACACACGTGCAACAAAGGCACAAACACGTAGTTACAACTGCACACACGCTCATGCGCCAATTTGAATACAGTATGCAGGGACTTGTGTGAGAGAGGCGCCCACTGATGCACACAGAGAAATTCTGTCTGAAGAGGCTAAGCTAAGCTAGGAGAGATGAATTTCTGACTGCTAGCACCAAGTCTCCTGACCTCTGACCCAAGCCTGGAGGGCGAGACACTGCAGTCGCCACCTCAGGATCAGGTGAGGGGCAGGCGGCCTCACTCGTCTCAGTCAAACAAGAGCGAGTAAGCCAAAGTGTGACTCAGTGTTAGCCTCTCGGTGTCAGACACAATTTACAATGTGGATGGAAGTGATCTGTGTTAGCTTCATAATTAGGACCACTTGCTTTCTTTAGGCTGGTTTATAATAGCCAGGCATAAATATTTATTCCTGGCGACTGGGGAGGATAAAAATGGTGGGAGTCAGAGGTGGAGCTCACCAAACATTCAGAATCCAATGCTCACCCTGTGATGCTAATACCCCCGAGGACTACTGTGCCAGACTGTGCCGCAGCAGAGATCAAATACGAGGGCCCTTATGTTGCATTTATTGTCTTCAGCTCTTCCATTTTTCCTAATAAATGAGTGACAGCTTGACGTGGGTCTGGGTACTTTAGTAGACTCTTTGTATTTTTCCCCCAGGTCAGAGAGGAGAGGGCTTTAACAGCGATCTAAAAAACGAAGGGGAGAGCTGCGGAGCATATCTAATTGCTTTCATATGCCGTATTATTGGTTGATTTAAATAACCACAGACACCAGGGGCACTGGGGGGCATCGCCTTTAACCTCCGTGTGGCCCTGGCCAAGACTGGCTGGCTGTCTGGGTTACTGACTGGCCCGTGACACTTTGAGCACCAAAAATCACGCTTACTTATTTACCTGCCAATTATCACTCTTATGCTTCGATAATGAACTGGAATTTGCGTTTTGGATTTTATTCATGCTTTTCAGAGCAAAGAAGTGTAGATACTTCTTTGGTGAGCTGTTCTGTCATTGGTCCTGAAATAGGAGAGGCTGCGGTGTTACAATGACACAAGAAGCTATGTCTGGAAACTGGGAAAAGACGCCTCAGGCCATCCAAGGTCTTGAATACACCCACGAACCGCTCTGGACAGGGAGGGAAGGGTACATGGGATGTACATTTCCATTTAAACTGCTCTAGTGAAAGATGGTAATGTATACAATTACACTGAGTGAATTACAATGAAACAAATGTGACCCAAGCAATAAAATGCCATATGGTATGCAGTTTAAACCTTCATACCCGCAGTGAAAATGAACATACTTATATAATACAACAGGGTATGTCCTACCAGTCAGATCTTTCTTCAGCTTCCTGATGTCCTTGGTGAGGTCTTCAAACTTCACCTGAGCAGCCTGGAAGAAATCCTGAGGCTCTGGCAGAGGGAACACACTCTTCTCTGTGCCAGCATGCTGGAACAGTGGAGCGAGCATAGAAGTATATGGCTGCTTAGTAACCCATGATTTAACAGCGTAAAGTTTGGTGAATTTGATTGACAGTACCTTACCTTGTCAAAATTACGCAGGTAGTATATAACAACGTAATCCACCAGATTCATACGATTGTCCTGTGGAAGAAATGACTCAGGATTAAGCTGATATTCAGTAGGAAAGCTAGCACTGCACTGTGAGTGTAAGATTAGAAGTGGTGCGTTACCCTGCTCTTGACGTCCTTTAGTTTGGGGAGGATCTCCAGTCCAAAGCCGTCCGCCTGACCTCTTGTCCTGTTCCCTCCGTTCATATAGTTGCCAAAGGCCAAAACAAGACCCAGTACATCACGCAAATGATTACACTCTAACAGATCCTGACACACACACACGCACACACACACACACACACACCCTTTGGGTTAGTAAACCTTCACGTAGCTTGATGGCACTTTTCTGAAGCAGTGTTTATTGAAGTGACGTTCTTACTTTGCAGACATTGGAGATGATGTCCACCTTGCGATGGATGGAGGAGATGGTATCGAGGAATACTGACTGGAAGATGATGCAGTGGGCTCTTCCCGCGAAGTCAGGAATCTGGGAGAGCTCATAGAGAAACCTGGAGAACAAAAGGGGAGGAGGAGGTGGGATTGAATGGGGTGTGATGTGTTATGACAGAATTAAACAAAATGTCTAACAGGAAGAACTATTTTGGGGCAGCTGATAGTCATGAGCGGCGCTGCTCGGCTGGGTTTGAAAGGTCCACGGGGTCTTGTGGATGGAGCGCAGTGAGCGGCGCACAGAGACTGATCAAAGGTAGCTCTGGCCTGATGCGGGACGACTTATGTAAACAGTGCCGTGTCAGAGGGGAGCGGAGCGGTAACATCCTGTGTGATTAGGCCCCGCTGATGGAGGTAGACACTGAGTAGGGATGACTCGGGTAGCCATAGTGACAGCTCTAGTCAAACATGGGAATAAGAAGGCTGGGCTGAGCGGCACTACTGGGTCCAGGCCTCGTTAACTGGCCAGGACTACTTAACCCTGACAGGAACTCAGAACTACTGAAGCAATGTCCATTAATGTATATTAATAACACACACAAAGCTGTAGAAGTAGAACACTATTATTTATTTATGGTTTGACCTGTTTGACTAATAATGAAATTAGTTTTTTAGTGAACAAAAACAACCAATTACCTATGAATCCAAATAAGCTAATAAATAATTAGAAACATGTCACAAACCTATATAATTTAATTTAGCTAAATAATAGTTGGGCGAATAAATACTGATAGCACTAAACTCAATATTTGAACTGACCTTAATTTCTCTGATAAATCCAGTTTATCATGATTTATGAATTTCATTATAAACTTACTGTTCAGGTTTGTCGAGCAGTTTGACTTCATCTTCTTTCGATTTCTCATAATGTCTCATTATCTTGTCCATCTCATCACTGGTGGCCCTCTATAAAAGACACAACACACAAAGACCAAAATCAATCAATATGGCTAAATGTGTTCAATAAGAGAATCTGAATAGGTACTGCAGTTGTCGCAGTGCGAGATGCTGCACAATGACAACAATTATTTAGATGACAGGCATCGTACTCTAGTAAAACTAATTTGTAGCAGTAAAACTAACAAGGTTTTCTCTATTTTCTTTAAAGCTGTCAGATGATTTTACAACCTTCTGTTTCTCCATTTTTTATTACCTTAGACAGACTGCTCCTTCATACTTACATTTTCATATAAAGCCTCAATGGTCTCCAAATCCACCACAGAGTTGTCCACAGTAAGAACAGCTGGAACAGTAAAGATATTCATTATTAGCAGTCAGTCTTATAAATGGATAAGATCTTGGCCAAAGCATGCTGCCTTTTAAGTGTTGCCAGTGCTTGAAGACCAAACTTGTTTTTCCGACTAGGGACGTAAACTCATGATAGCCCTGTAATTTTGTAAAACTTTGGTTGACATAGAACATTATATTTTTGGCAAACTCTATGTAAGACATACTATATGTTGTAGGACAATGAAAAATTAATGTCAACACCAGGAAAAAAAGAGCAATATTTGAGCAAAACCATGGTGCTACTAGTGTCTACTTGCATCTCCACTTCACCAACAACCAAAACATTCAATTCAATTCATCCAATTACCATGTAGATGAACTTACTACATTTAATTTTGGATATTAGCTTGAGATGGTGAAGCTGGGAGTGTGGCCAGGCAGTTGGGGCAGATAAATTTGGGGCAGACAGGGTATGAGAGCCTCCTGTGGCAAAAAACCTGGGGGGACGAAGCCCCTCGCTGCAGCTCAAAACAGATACCCTGAAATTGCTTAACCTCTGGGCCCACAGCTAGAACCACCACAGCCGACTGTAATGATTATCAAGTGAGGCAGGAGAAGGTGAGTTGAGCAGAGGATGCGGGAGGAGGTCAAAGGAAGAGGGAGAAGAGAGGAAAAAGGGTGAATAAAGGCTGGCACAGATCATGATTTAGACACTAAAAGAGTGAGAAATAATATGAAAAAGAAGGAAACTTCTCGACCTCCTTCACCTGCAGGCTTTGTTTATCTTGACTCGCAGTAAAAAAAAAAGTGCATGGGGGAAAGTGCGCACGGAAGGCAGAATGTAGAGGACGGCACAAAAAGAGAAAGTGACTCCTGTTCTGTGTCTAGGAGGTGTCACAGGTTTAAGGCTTAGAGAGGGAGGAGGCGAGGAGTACACAATGGGAAGGATAGCTCCAGTGCTGCTGGATCAGCTGACAGTTGTCTGCTTGGTGTCATAACTAAGGAGGACTGCACGCCACCTACTGCTCTCAAATCAGTCCCTCGATGTGACACAAATCACCATGACAAAGCATATTAAAAAAAATAAAAAAAATAAAGATGTAATGACAATTACACACTATATGTATTCAGTGTTATAAAATCTAGCTTAAAGTTTGCTCACATTACCAAACCAAGTAACTTTTTCTAAGTACCAGCCAACAGCTCTACAGCAAAATCTCGTGGTCTTATAATAAAAGTGTTGAACTGAAATAGGATGTAATTTATTGCTCATGAATTAAACATCTAATTTGGAAGGAAGAAACTGTTAATTCATGTTTTTCTGCAAATTTTATACTGCATTTATTTAGGGCAAAAAAGTTCCAGGTAGAAAAACAATGCTAAAAAAGGGGCTTTTTTGGTATCAGTACCATGTACCATGTATTGTACTGACACAGGTAAATGCAACAATTTTAACAACACAGCCCTAGCTTTCTCAACCACACACTGTTTCCAGCTAACAAGGTAATACTTTGCATTCTGGTTCCCAGCTGTTTCTGTTGCAGAGAAGCTGTCAATGTGGTCCCAATGTCTGGATCAGAGAGAACGCTGGAGGTCCATTTCCTACATCTTATTAGAGTGGATTATTCAGTCCCTCAGCCATGCAGCCGTCAATCACACACCAAAGGGGGGCCTGCTCCAGTGTGCACAGGAGCACTCTGATCCGAGGGGAGCCGGATATCTCTCCACACCGACAGATCAAAGCCTGCCTGCCAACCACCTCACACCCTCTCCTTCCACTTTTCACTCATCGGCTTTGGTGTGGAAGGGCATGTGTGGTGTGTGAACATGTGTATGTGTATTTGTGTGCGTGTGGTGAGGTGGGTGTTGGGGGAGAGCCTCCCTTTGCCCTTGAACCATGGTGGCCCTTGAGGTCCCCCAGTCACTCCGGCGGGTGCAGTTGACCCCCTCTCTCCCTGAACCAGTGCTACCTTCTCTACTCCCCTACCTCTCTCTCTCTCTCTCCCTCCCTCCCTCCCTCCCTCCCTTGTAGCTCTAATTACATTACATGTCCCATGTCCTTTTAATTTGACAACAAAGGGGAGGCAAGCAGGCAAGGCCAGGGACCGGAGGCCTTAGAAGTTGTTATTAAGGTGCTGTCCTTCATTGTCAGATTCAAATTGTTAATTTCACATACACCTCCCATTAAAGCACAAGGAAGCAGCCCCACGCTGAGTGTGAGCAGGCCTTTTTTTTTTTTTAACCAAACCACCTCTACAAACTGACACTGGAACAGAGAGAAAAGGATTGAAGGGAAAGGGAAAAAAATCTAAACAAAATGGGCGTCGTGGTGGTATGCGCTGTTTGGCTTGTGTTTGAGGTGGTTTTATGTGGTAGCACAGTGTCTGCTAACTGTGGAAGGTGGTTTTGTACATGCTCAGATCATTAGTGGGGTGTCAGTCCCATTAGGCTTGTGGAAACCGTCACTGGCTACAATAAACAGATCTGCTGGCCGCATGCTCAGACTAGCAGGCGGCAGGCACTCTCCGCCACAATCCCAGGACAGGACCAATTCCTGGCCCATCTATGCTGTCCCCAACACACATATTATGTGTTTACACACACATACAGCCACTTCAACACACACGCCTACATTTTTCCATAACCAAGCGTGTAATCAATCTACGCAGCTCTTCCAATGAAGGAAATGCCAATTTGATTTTAAGCAGTGGAGGAGGGATTTCAAGCTGTCTGACAGAAAAACTGAACTTTCGTCCCAGCGTTGCCGTCTTCACGTCTTTGACTAATCGAGGCATTTTCTTCCCCACTGTGGTGGTAACTGGAAAAATCATCCGCGTTCCACTTGAAACACAAATGAATCCAAAAAAAGTGTCTCTGGTTCCAAATTAGTAGCTGTCAAGAGGTCGGAAATTATTCTCTGCTGCAGGGCTCGCTATCTCATCTCTAAAAATAACTCCATCTGCATTTCATCAGTTGTCATCCTCAATTTATTGTTAAATTGGACTGTAAATCCAGTTCATTACTGTTCAATCTAAATAAGAACCCCTTCCTTAAAAGAGGTTTAAATGATATGATAGTGTGCACAAGCTTCTGGACATGTTAAACGGACTGACATCAGAAAATAGTTTTCACCTTGCTGAATGTCCTTCATCTCCAGATGCAGGCTTGATATGAGGATGCCGACTGCTTGTGAACGCTTCCCATCCAGGAGCTTGATAATCTGGAAGAACAGAAATCAAACAGAAATCAAACAGAAATCAAACAGAAATCAAATTAATTTGCATTGTCAAGATGCCAGATTAGCAGCGTAAAATCCACATTATGCATTTCAGCGAGGCTTAAATTGCCTAATTTCCTTATCTTAAATAATTAAGCAAGTTCGTGGTTTTAAATTTCAACAAATATTATTGCTAATTACTTTATAAAGCAATCCAAAAACCACCTCACACATTTGCTATCATCAACTCTATTATTAAACACTGACATAAAACAATTCAACAGATGTTGAATAAAAAGTTAATTTCTGCGATGAGAAGCCGGGTAAAAATCACTTAGTCACTTCCCCGGCTGTGGAAGCAGATGATAGATGATGAGCGAAGCAGAGCGCCTCGAGTCCCAGTTAGTCTAAGTAGCCTGGGAATGATCTGGGTTTACCCAAATGACCAGACTAATCAGCACACATTGTCATAACCCATCATCATGCTGTAAACGAACATGCAGCACACACACACACATAGCTGGGACACACGTTAAGTTACATCAATGAGGCGAGCAAAGTGGAACAGAAAAGCACCTCCTCCAGTTTACTGAAGAACATGTGTGAGATATAATCAAAAAATATCAAGTCGCAGTGAAAGTACAAAGGCAAAAGTGGCACCATAAAAGGACAGTCTAGAAGAGCAAGGCAAAGAGAAGCAGGGCTTTTTATAACAAACTATAAATTCACAGGATTTTTATTTGTGCCTACACATGGACACAATTACTTATGACTGAATTAGCCGTAAAGCCAGAGAGAGTTTTGGCAAGGTAAAGCCCCACTCTAAAAGTTAATGTGTCAGGCTTCTTCATTAGGTATTATGGCGTTGTCGGCTACTGGGCTGTCCAGTGGGAGCTGGAGAGCAGAAGCCTTAGAAGTGGGTATTGCATTACAGGGCGTTAGTGGGTGCCATGCTGCTTCCAGCTCTATTACCTGGATCACTGGGGATCTCCCATTCTAAGGACTTGAGACGGCTGAGTACCAGGCTTTCCCAACACCTCTAATTAACCGCTTTGGACGGGCCACACTAAAAGCAAGCCAGGAACCCTTCCCGCTCACCGTGGCTGCAGAACTCGCCAATTAGCCTAAACAGTTACGTTAATGAGAAAAGACAACTGATGCTGGATGCTTGGTTTCAGACACGCAAACAGCTTGGCTAAGCGAAGGGAGACGCTTGATGCTGATGCTGAGACAGGTAGGCATGAATAGCAGACGGCTCCCTCCTGTGGACAGAAAGAGAACTGAGAGACACTCAGAGGCTTTCATTTGAAACTGCTCTGGACACTTGAATAACACAGACAGGTCAAAAGGAAAGAGGAGGAGGAGAAGAAGAAGAGAGAGAAAAAGTGAGCCGCCTATGAAAATAAACAAAATGATGGAAGGAGACTCGGGGAGTGTCAGCAGTTTGAGCTGAAGCAGGTGGCTGATGTTAGGCGAGGTGGGCAGGGTGATGCAGGTTCACAACCGAGCGGATAGTTTACACAGCCCCGGCTGAGCAGCCAGCCTTCTCCGTGGTGACTGTCTGTCTGACTATCTGTCTGGAATCACCCAGGCAGATGTTTCAATAACAACTGGATCAAGACTTCCCATCAATAACCACCTACAATACACTCAACAACCCCAGTGTCACCCAGCGGTGTTAGTCTTACACCCACTCTCCCACGTCATAGTCAGAGCTACAAATATGTCTTTAATAAACGCAGTATGATTGCTCATAAGTTATTCCCATAAACTGGTTAAAGCTGCTGTTTGTTTAAGGAGATCCCCCGTGTATAAACTTGATACAAGTTTGATTTATGTGGTTAGAGGAAATTGCCGTTTTTTGTGTTTACTTACGTGCATATTTGCACACATACAAACTCAACCGCACATTTAGAGTAACAATTTCTTCATCTTCATCCATCTCTCTCCCTCACCCCTAAGCCCCCAAATCAAGAATGCACCGACATGCCCATTCTCTCCGCTCCCCCCCACTCCTATAGGTGCCCCATCTTCATCACCTCCTCTAGCCAGCGGAGTGGAGCCACATGCCTGCAATTATACCCCTGGTCCAGTCGGGTCCGGTCTGCTCGGGTGGGAGCGCTCTCTTCCATGTCATCTCCTCTGCTTTGATATGCTAATCAGCAGAGAGAGAAGGGCTCTAGAGTAAACAAGAGCTTTGATTTTTCTATGGCACACATGATAAAGATTAACTTACTCATGTAGGCATCGGTTGCATCCCCCGAGTTTCAACTTTTGGCGTGTGGAGTTGTTGGAAAGCGGGGAAGTGGCTCATATGCATAATGTACACACACATTCCATTCCCTCCCACTCATCTCCTCTCGCCGCACAGGGCCCCGGGCTGTGGTGTTAGCATGATCTGGCAACACTTTCTGAGCAAGTGCATAATGGCTTTTGAGGAGGTGCCGTCATCAAGCCCACAGACGGACACGCACACACACACACAGAAACAAACACATGTCGGCGCATACACAAACACACAGAAACAAACAAACAAAAGTGGTTTCTGTGCAGGAGTGTGTGTTGACAGAGACAGGAGGCAGGTAGTCTGCGTGAGTGTCCACTGGTATTGGTAGTCACGCAGAGGGACAGAGACCACTGTCTGGTCAGATTCTGCAGAGTAAACCAACCATGTTAAGTACCCCTAACGTCTAGCATGTAATTATTAAACAACAATTACACAACGAAACTAACGGAATTAGTAGTAAAAAATAATCTAAATCTAAATTGTAAGAGGGTTTCAAATGATTAATTCACATTAATGCTATAAGAGAAATAGCCAATCAAAAATAAGGATATGTATCGATCCCTTTGTCAATTTCTTTATCTCAATAACAAGTTATTCTGACAAATTTGCATGATCTTATTTGTAAAGTTAATTTGTTCTATTAAATCTTTAATAAATCCAATTTTAAATCTTTAATATCTTCGACTAACCCCAGAAATTAACTAGAGCTGAAACAACATTACTTGATGGTCAGAAAATGAATTGGCAACAATGTTAACTGGTTCTGGCGTTTTTAATACGTCATCATGGGCTCTGGGAACTTATGATGGGTAGTCTATACACCAATGATTCATTCATTAACTGAGAAATAACCTGTAGATTAATAGATAATCAAAATAATTGTTAGTCTCGTACTGAAATAATATAATAAGGAGAATATAGCAACACAATGATAAGTGCAGTCAAAAAAGATGCATGAAAAAATACTTCAATCAGAATCAAAGCCAGCTTTATTCCTTTGCACCACTCAGGAATGCAAAAAAAGGAGCATGACAGGGCACTCACTACCTGGTGGCTCACCAGGTAGAGCTGGCGCCCCATGTACAGCGGCTGAATCCTTGCTGCAGCGGCCGTGGGTCCGGGTCCGACATGTGGCCCTGTCATTCCCCCTCTCTCCCCCTTTCCTGTCTATCTTGAGCTGTCCTATCAAATAAAGGCAAAAAACCCTAAAGATAAAAATAAAAAAGTAGCGTGACATCCTATCAAAAGCATGCCAAGGAATGATACCCTGACTTATACTTATTGACATGGGGTGGCAACTCTACCAGGTGAGCTTCAGTGTAAATATCATCCTACAAGAAAGCAGCACTTACAATTGTCAAGCTAAAATTATTATGGATTATACATATAATATTATAATATTTTAGTAAAAACCTGTATGATAAATTACTTTTATTTTGAAATGTATGAATTAGAGTAAAAGTAAAAAAAGAGCTTATGATGATCTTTCAGTACAGAATTTTACTTTCAGCTGTTTGCTAAACACAGGCCCTGGTCTCTGCTTGGTGGCTGAGGGACTCTCCCTAAACCCCGTCACCCTCGCCCATTCAGTCCATTCCTCCTCAAACCAGTAGCACCTAGTCTTCATCCCTGCTCATATCCCTTCCTCCCCACCATTCCAAAAAAATCTGTTTCTCTTCGTTCTTTACTTCCCTTCCTTTCTTTCCCACCCGTTAACCAGCGGAACTTCTTGGAAGCTATCATCAGCTGGTGATTCAGATGATTTCTAGCTCAAATGATTTCTCTCTCTTTAACTCAGAGTATAAACTTTCAAGGATAAAAAATGATTACGTAAACAAGTTTCTTTTATTTTGACGACCTTTCCAGTGTGTTGGACTCCTGAGCGGGCTGAAAACAACCATGCCTTCGCGCATTCACTTTCCCTCTTTAATCGTAGAGTTGGACTCTGAATGCTCTTGCTGGCTCTAAACACAGACCTTTATATTAAATGTAAGACTCCTGTATAATCACAGTGCTGGGGACAAAATGTCTAAACATAGATATCAACCCGAGCCAGTGTACCATACAGGTCTTTCTCTCAAATGCAGTAAAAAAGTTTTTTGATTGATATGAATTTGTTTCAGCAGTGTTTCCATTAGTGGGGTCAAACCTCTTCCAGGCTGATGTAAGCCCAGACAGGAGACAGTTGGCAGGAATTGTGTCTGGATGTGGCTGTCTGAGTTGGATCAAATGTTGGACAGTTTGCCGCTTTAGAGTGACCAGACTGAACGGAGAGATCTAAGGATGGAGATCAAGGACAGAAGCACACACACACACACACACACACACACACACACACACACACACACACACACACACACACACGGGGCCCTCTGGAGCAGAGTGGAGCCTTAACAAATTGATCAGAATAGGGGATGTGTATGGATTTAGAGGGGGCAGTCTGGGGCAGTGGCCGATTTTTAACTGCTTGGACGCCACACTGAGGACCAAGAGGCGGCCAGGGTGCTGACGCGGCGCTGGCTGCAGCAGAGGTGCAGAGTTGCAGCATTTGACAAGACATCAACAAGTGTGTCTTCGGTGGGTAAGAGAGAACGGTAGATCAATCTATCGCAAAAGCACGTCTTTGCTGATTTTCCCTAACTCGGTTCGTCTTTAAAAACTAAATATTGAAGCTTGCACAGATGAGGGGAAAAAACAACACGATTCTGAACCCCCAACTTCATTACACTCCTGCACAGTTAGCTTGCCCAGAAAAAAAACAAGGGAGTGAACTCATAAACCGATAGCCTGTGTTGGCCCAGTGCAAGACCTGCAGCTGCAGCCAGCAGTCTGGAGGAAGACCTGATGAGAACCACAATCCATTTCTTCCCACTTCACCTTTTGTTATTTCTTTCTTTGATTTACGATTGGACATGACAGCAGACAAAACGCCTCTCTTAAACAAAGCCCGATAAGAAGCTAGCAACTAACAACGCCCTCAGGTGGCTGCAGAGAGATCAAAAACAAAAAATGAAGGATGAATTACGCTTCCCATAAAACCGACGTCAAGGAGAAAGGATAAGAAGATATAACCCGAAATGAGGAGAAGTGGGTGGAGTAACTGAATTTACCTTCTTAGTTTTGGCTTTCTTCTCATAAGTGTCCGATAAGGGCTTCTTCTTCGGCTGTAGTGTGGCCTTGGAGAAAAGATCCTCAAACTCATTGGTGCTGACGATGTTTGGCTCCTCCAGGGAACCCCACAGTGTGTTGTTGCTGGAAAAAAGAAGTGAAGATTTTAATCTGCAATTCATTTTATTTCATCTTCATCACAACTGAGGTTATAAAAGGTGCTAAAGATTTGATCACAGTCACAATGACAGTGCACTCTAGAAAGATCTAGGATACTTTCTTTGGGCTCAACAAATAGTGTGTTCTATTTGTGGAAGCTCATTTGATGTTTATTCAACCTGCCCACTGTTTTTCATTTTCCATTTCGCTGTCTGGCAAAAACTTGGCAGGAATGACGGCGATCTAGGCTTTAAAAAGCACTGTTTATGAGCTAGGTGATAAAAATAACAAAGTTTAGGACAAGCTTGTTTCTTCAATAAAGGACAATTTCCAGCAAATGAACAAGAACACAGGAGGCAATGTTGTGTTTCAGAAGTTGCTCAGTAACATGGAAAAAACAAACAGAGGCAGAAATAAGAACAAGAGGTGTCTAAAGTCAAGAGGATGTTCAGGATGTAAGCACTCTGCTGTTACCAACGCATCTACTTTTCTGTCCACTTAAATGCAACACATCTGTCTCTGCTTTCCCTCCCAGAGTGTGTTAATCAAATAGACATTAACAGCAGAATCAACAGGCTTACTAACAGATAAACTTATTCTAGAGAAATACTTTAGAGTGATGACACTACACACGCCTAATTACTGGTACCCTTTCACAAACCGCAGTTGTTCACGCAGGTCTTAGTTTACTGATATTACACCTCAGCTGTGAGCTCATGAGACTGGTGGGTCAATCTCCCCAGAGTCAAGGTCCATTTACAATGAGAAAGAGAACCTGGATACAACACACTAATACAAGCCCTGGCAGGCTTATCATGGCTTAAATACCAGAACAATCAAATGCATTGCCAGTGACTCGATTAGGGTCGAGTAAGTCCAAGTGTTTCTGCATGCAGTTGGCTTCCTATTGCAGTGGTGAGAGTATATTTATGTGGGGTAGCCAAGAGGACATAATGATACTGTCCCAAAATCCTCCTTTGATTCTGCACTCCTTTCTGAGAGGCTGAGGAAAATAAGTCCAATGTCGACTCTGAGCCCAACTGTGCAGGAATTTAGCTTGGAAAAGAAAATTACATCCAAACCCCAAGAAATATTTCCATGCAAGACAACTTTCTAATTGACCGGATTATGACTATAATTGAATTTGAATCCCCCTTAAAGCCCTTTTCTTAATGCAGCTTCCCAACAAAGTGTGTCCCGCGTCCTGCCAACTGTACTTTGTGTTTGGGCTTACATTTAGACACCTGGCATCATTTCAAACCTTACACTGTTCCCCCTCATAACTCAGAACCTCACACCATTAACAGAGATCACACAGCTGATCCAGCTATAGTTAAACATCTGACCCATTTAATGCCCCTTAACTTGGCCCTTTACAGTTAAATTTATAGCCGACATGAAACTGCTGTAGTGAAGTCAGTCAGTCCTCCAGCGCTGGCTAGGACCAGAAAGAGAGAGTGCGAACCACAACTCAGCTTCCCCCACTAATCCAGCCATGGAAATACAAGGCCATAAAGCTGGAAGCCTGGCACTCAGAGGCAACAACCACAGCCACTGTAAATGGGCTGGATAATCCACTTACAATTACAGAGTATCTGGTGCACCAACCATATCAATGATATCTCTCTGAACAGAAGTGTTCAGGGAAAGACCCCATTAGACCAGGGCCAATGAAGCTCAGACATTCATCAGCCCTGCTATAACAGTTTCACTCTTAGGATATCTTCATTTTGCCCATGACTTTCTAAACCCCACTTTGATGACATTTTGCAGAATCCCCCAAAACTAATGAACTCAATGCAATCCAGGCAAGACCAAACACAATGAAATGTTAATCATTCAGTCAAAATTTAACACGCCTTGAGCATTCTGAATTGTTTCATACTGTCAGGTATGTATTAATATAGGCTCACCGAAACTTTTTAAAGGGTGATACTGATATTCTCAGTATTTGGGAGCTTGAAAAATAGAATGATGATATAATTGTTTTAACATAAACAAACAATATTGATACAAATCCTCAGATTAAAAAAAAAAAACACAGATAGATACGAACTGCGCAGGAAATTCTATCGTTCAAAACTAAACTTGTCAGTGCCCTCTAGTGGACAAACCATGTAATGTTAACAAATTATCTCAAACCTAGTTGGGCGTTTGTGTACTGCAATTACTTGTTACTTATCAGCTGACATATACAAATATACATACCAACATATCTGCAAATGCAAATATCCATAGCTCTAGTCCTTAACCCAGTGTTTACTGTAATAATAAATACCAACGTGAACTGAAGTTGTTTAAGTCCTGGGCTTTCAGTAGCCTTGGTTTTAAATGAGTGTTTGGGCTAAGAAATGTAAGTGTGTGGAGCCATTGGGATTTTTGTGTGCGTGCTACTAATGATTTTGTGTTTCTGATTTCTGATATATCTCTGAACACGGCAACATCGCTACGATGAAGTCCAAATAGTCCAGAAATTAGTTAAACCACTTTATATGTCTGTAAATATTAAAGTGAGCACCACCGACATGCAAACAATAATCCCTCATTGCACAGGAAAATTGTGTGCACACAACTATGATAAGTACCGGAGATTGTAGTTGAACCAGGGAGGCGGCCTGTAAACTGTTATGAATGTTTACAATGGAAAGTTTGGGGAATAATTTCACCCTTAGCTTTTGATTTCTCTTTTAAAAATGTTTGGCTAATCTGGAGTGTTGTTTAAAACTTGTTTCGTCAACTGACTCCTCGTGTTTCACAAGCACTTCTTTATAACAATGCTACCCCATTCCCGGACCTCTACAATGAACTTGCTAAATATACCGTTATTATTACCAACTGAAAATCAATGAAATGAAAATGCTCATACTTATTGTCCTGTATCTGGATCCTGGTCCAGTACAGAGGCTTCATGGGACAGGCCGGCTCAATGGCAGGTTTCCGTGGGGCCTTATCTACATTCTGGCCGAGACTGAAGCCCCCCATCGGGGGAGGAGGTGGTGGGCCGCAGCCTGGAGGAGGGGGAGGAGGAGGTGGACCAGCCCCAGGTAGACCAGGAGGGGGAGGCGGGGGCGGTGGTGGTGGCGGACCACCACCAGGAAGAGGAGGTGGTGGTGGGGGTGGCGGCGGAGCTCCCATGTTGCCCGGCAAAGGGGGAGGAGGAGGAGGGGGTGGTGGTCCTCCTGAGAGGCCTGGTGGGGGAGGGGGGGGGGGGGGGGGGGAGGAGGTGGAGGCGGTGGTGGTCCAGGAGGCCCTGGGGCTGTTTCGGCTTTTAGATTTAGTTCGATAGAGTCCAAGTCGAGTTTTTTAGGCATGTTTTGGCTGGGGCTTTGAGCAAGCCCGCCACCGTCACCCTCGGGGCTCCTGATGAAGGTCTCCCTGTCCGTCTGGATGCCCACAGTGCGGCAGATCTTGGGGATCGGGTCATCTGCAGTGGAGACAGCAGCGTCGCAGACTTCTCTCCGCTCCTGGCCTGTATTGTACGCCCTGTCTCTTTGCATCTTGCCAATGACTCTTTCCAGGTGCGACATTGAGACAGCGTGCTCACCCCGCAGTTGGAAGATCTGGAGCTCATAGTCAGACTGTAAGGAGAAAGAGCCAGAGACAAAACAAATCCAGAGTATAAGAAACATCAGTCATTTCCTATTATATTAGGTGGTAAACAATGCGTTTCTTTGAATGAACTTGGATTAAAGGGTGTAATTATTATTCCATGGGGCATTACATGAACGTGATTTTTCGTTGAACAATAATAATCACATTTATTTTTTTCAGCTTTGTTTTTAACCTAATTTCCATTACATTTCTCTGCAATCTGAGGTTCATATCTGACTCGTACAGTGAAAACCTGCTAACTTGAGTTTTCATTTGACATTTCAAACAATGAAGAATAATCCAAACAAAGCAAAATATTGATTTGATACAGAAAGGAAATTGTTTTGCAATAAATCTTACACATGTTCCTTGTTAACTTGTGTCAGTTTAGAAATAGAATTACGCACGTTCCCTCCCTTTCTTGTGGGCTGACTGTGGTACATGTCTCTTAGTGTCAGCATCAGTCCTTTAAAGGTCGACGTCAAATTAAAGGCTTTAAGCAGACAGGCTGAGAAACCAATTCTGAGGTCAGACTTTTCGAGGAAACGGCCCATAAAGCAATTTATCAGTGGTAGAAATTATTTAACATGGCCAGAGCTATGTTCTTTTGGTTTTCCAAGGGTATACAGTAAATTGACTCTTGATTAAATTGGCAGAAATGAAACACCAGGATGTTCCTAATCCCTGCTTTTGATAAATGAAACAGACTCTTTTAAAATGAATTTTGTCGAGTGGTCGTGTTCGAGACAAAAATATCTATCACAGAACTCATGTGGGGCGAGGACTGATCATTTGGAAGTAACATTATTACATATAATACGTGGCATTCAATAAATTTAGTGACACAGTGCCTTTTTTTTCCATACATTCATATATTTTGGGGGCTTTATTTAACAAGACAGCTTGCGATATAGACAGGAAAGGGGGATAAAGAGAGGGGATGACACGCAGCAAAGGGTCACAGGTCGCATTCGAACACATGGCCACTGCAGCAAGCCCTAGTCTTGGTACACTGGGCGCCAGTTCTACCAGGTGAACTATCAGGGTTCAGTTTTAACGAAAACATTAACCAAATGTGACATTTTGCCTCCAATTTAATCAGTATATTTTATGTAATTAAAATAATGAACTTTTAGTATAGAAGAGCTAAAGGTCACATTAGGAGTCATAGATTAGGACATTAGGCCACTTTAAAAAATAATAGTCTAATTTGATTATTTAAAAAATAATAATAATTTGTCATTCTGGCATCTGAATACTGGATGCACAGTTGCACTGGACTACAGTTGACATTTGCCAACAGAATAAGAATCTTATTCAAGTTATTTTTCATTTTGACCTCGTTATACTAGTTCTTGGTATGTATATGTACAAAATTAACCTTAAAACCTAAAACACTGACATGAATTTACATTGAAAAGACATTTTATACACAATTGTAGGCAAATTCAAAACCCCTGATGTCTCAAAGCTTCTGGTGCGTTAAGCTTTACACCAGTTCAGCTGCTGCACTTTAACATTTCATGCTTACTTAGTGCCATCTTGTGTTCAGGGTAGTCAACTGCTAGGACAGAGCAGATTGTGCCTTAAAATGTAACTATATTTGCTTTTCATGCATCTCAAACACATGAATTATTGTCACAAATGTATTTTCATGAATCCCAAATGATTATTTCATATTACACCAGAAGATAGCTTTGAATTCCCTTGTTGTTGAAAGGTGCTCTATAAATGCACTTGTCCTGGCTAGTCTTCCCTCACAGACATGCCTGGGATAATTTTCTCTAGCACATGATATGTTTTCAGTAATCATTGTCATGTCTGCTAAAGTCACATGATAACTTACATGCATCCTCTCCAGATCTTCCTTGCACTCTCTCTTCAGCTGTAACAGGGCAGCCTGGTGCTCTGAATGAAGGCAGAACAAAGACACAACACAAACTTATTCTGCTGGTAAATGTGAAGTGAAAGTGAAATATGAAGTGTATATTCAATTCAATTATCACAGCTCATTGCTGGTGTTTCTCTACAGATTAAAAAGATGTATTGGGTTAGAGTTATGTTGTCTTGAACTACTGGCTGATAAATTAGCATGTTAAATCACTATCAGGCTAATCTGCAAGACAAGAGACAGAAGGTGATTCTACAGAAGGGTGGGTCACTTTCACTATAAAGAGCCATATTTACAACTCAACCGACCAGTTTTAAATTATACCGCTGGCTGAAAGGAGAGCCAAAACAAAACATTTTGTCAGGTCACGACACAAATCAAAAATGCTGATCTGAATCATAATTCACCAAATGTCCACGATGTTACAGCAGTATTTGGGAATGTACAACAGACAGAGATTCCTCTTATTTTGTCAAGAGGAATGCCTTGTCTTTAACTGCAAACAAAATCAACCTTTAGCTTATAAATAAAGTAACCTGAACCTGAACCTAGAAACCAGACAATAGAGACTAACCTTAACAAAACATATTTTGAGCTGGAGCATATTTTCACTGCAATATCCTTACCCATCCTATCCTGTGTAACCCGGTACCCTGCCCTACCAAGTCACTCAGTGTCTCGTCAATACAATTTAAAATTATCTGAGGAGTAGATTGTTGAGTTTGTGGCTCGTTCGTACATTTGTCCCTCTTTCTTCCAATTTACAATTAACACTAAAACCAAGATCATATAAAGAAGATGATCCTGTCTGCTTATGCACCAGGATAGACTATCTATAGAGCCACACATAGGCAGTTTGTTGTAATGAGTAACATTGCATTGTCGCAATGATTAAAATGAGTCAATGATTACAATCAGGTTAATCTTAAAAATCAATTAAAACTACTGTAACTGTACTTAATAATCAATTATTTACACCACTTAATCAATACTCTAATCTAGGGCCGTAAGTGTGTGGAGAATTAACAGACGAGTGTTATCTATATGGCTTACAGTCTGGACTTTCTGCTTCTCAGATTCCACACGCTCTTAACACAAATCGCCAGAAGAAGCTCGATTTAATCTATTCTAAGGGATGAAGCTGCACCACACAGACCATCCAACAGCTGTTACACTACCGTTATGCACTGTACGCTTTCAGTCAACACCATTTGCAAGGAACATGAAAGGAAAGCCTTTTACTTTGTAATACAATCAGCCCGTGTGCTTTTAACCAATCTGTGTGTCATTACACCTTTAGAGTACAAGGTGGGCCAAGCATGGCGTGCTGCCCAGGGTATACTTGATTCTATTTAATGTTTTTACTTCCCACACACATGCTATCCTGTGGTGCCACAAACCAGCAGCCACACAAACAGCAGCATTAAGGTGCAGACACAGACTCGCTGTGTTCTTAAATGGATTTAAAGGATGTCTTACACCCTTCTGCCTAGCTCTGCATGATTTGTCTCAGAGTTTTAAAGTTGGAGTGCTTGAGGGTGTGATAGTGGTGGCTCTCCTTTTATTTTTTTCAAGAAATCCATTCTAAAATACTGTGATATAAATACGATATCTGCAAGGACCATTATTCACAAAGCCAATCGGTGTGAGGTGTGTCAGTGTAAGCTTGACTGGCGTGGTCCTCAGTCAGCATTCCTGGTCTTAGATGTAAATACCGACAACAGTGTCTAAAGCAACAAGCTTGAGCTTCTTACCTGCCTCTGTGTACTTGAGCCCCACCTTCTCTTCCTCATCTTTCGCTTTGGGTGGGGGCCACACAGCCTGCAGACGCCTGGGAGTCCGGTCCTCGCTGTCTGTAGGGGACGTGACCTCTGTCTGCAGGGGAGAAAAAACAACATGCAAAAACGTCAGCATGTACCCTGGCAATGCAATGATTCAGCACCAGTCTGTCTCATGAATTCCCCCTATCTTTGTATGAAGCTATTTCAATTAAATAAAGAAAGATGAAAATGATGTTTGTGATGTTGAGATCTAAAATGATATAGGATTATGATTTCATACATTAGCCTCTGTGGGACTTTTAAGTTCCTTTCCAGGAGATTTGGAGCTTCTCTCAAAAATAGACCTCAGATTTTCCTTGTCATTCTTGATTTTCTTTTTCACTGCCTCCAGATCCACGTCCTCCACTTTTTCCTTTTTGACACTCTTGGGGCCAAAGATGCTCCTAAAGGTTTCATAGGCCAGATCTGAGGTTTTTTTTTTCTCCGTTTGGGATGTGGGGGTTTCTCGACTTGGAATTTTCTCTCCCACAACCTCTCCTCCATCCTTAGACTCTTTTTTGCTGTTTGGATCAGCATCCTGCCCGTAATCTGACTTTTTGGACCCATCTTGGTTGTCAACGTTGAGCAGCTGACTGAGCTGTCCCATTACACCGCTTTTAGTTTCCGCAACGGGTTTAGGCTCTGCATGCGTTTTGGCTGGAGAGGGTGTCTTCTGCTCGGGGAAGAGCTTGGCTTTGTTTACAGACTTCTTCAGGCTGAGCAGAGCCAGGTCAGCGTCCTTCTCCCTCTGCTTGATCTCTGACATGGTCTCCCTGTCTTCCCCCACCGCTCCTTTCTTCAGCACCCGCAATCCGCTGAAGAGAGCCGGCATCTGGAAAGAAGAGGGCGAAGAGAGTGCCGTGCCCCTGGATGGGGATGAGGTGATGGACGTAGGGGAGGATGCAGCTGGAGGTGGCGTGTTTGTTTCTGGTGTCTTTGGAGAAGTTGTGCGCTGTGAGGCAGGACTGGCACTTGGCTGGATGTCACCTGGGGATTCTTCAGGTGACAGCGACTTGGTTTGATTAGCGATACCTGCAGAGTCCGACTGCTCCTCTGGACTGGAGGATACTTGGACTGAAACTTCGGGAGTCTTAGGGCTGGAGGGAACAGAGGGGGACACCTGGCTGGAATGAAGTTCCTCAGTCCCCTTCTCAGCCTCATCCTTTTCCTCATGTGTCTCCTCCTTTTGTGTACTGTCCAAGTCCTTTACAGGAGAGGCCTCTGCAACATTATGACCTGCAGCCTCCGAAGCCACATGTCCGGAGATGATGGAAGGAACAGGCAGAGAACAATCTATGCCAGCATACTCGTCGTTCTCATCTGTTCTCGCATTGTCGCTATTCTCTGTAGCACCAGATGTTTTTACATCCACTGACACGATGGTGGTGCTCTCCTTGGGACTGCCGTCATCTCCCTGTTTGGAAACTGAAGAAACCAGAACTGTTCTTGAGTCAGCTCTGTTGACGGACCTGTCTGAATATAGAATAGATTCTATGAGGGATATCTCCTTGAGTCTGTGTGTTCTAAACACAGGCACTCGGTACTCCGCCTCTGCCTCACTGGCATCTTTTGGTTCATCTCCTCCATCATGGTCCACTTTGTCATTGTCCTCCACAGGTAGGGTAGGCTCCCTGGTCCTCGCAAGCTTTTCTGACAGTCCAGTGCTGCTGCGGGCCGCCTCTTCATCCTCATTTTCTGTGTCGCTGTACGTTTCCACCCTAGTGACCTGGACCAGATCTGGGTCAACCGAGGTTCCAGACTCCTTGCAGGTTCCCAATGATTCGGTAGTTTGACCACCTTCAACAGGAGGGTTCTCCCCATCTGCCAGCTCCTTGAAAGATGTTAGCTTAGCCGACTCCATGTCTGAAGAGGCAGATCTATCCCGGCTGAAAAGACTGTTAAAGACATTCAGGAGGGAACTAGCGGGCTGCTTCCCCGGCCCATCTAAATTATTACTTGCACTGTCCATTTTTGTTGACACCAAACTGAGAGCAAAGAGAAGCAAACCAAAACAGGTAGTAGCTGCAACAAAGTGTCCAATGAAAATGTCACAAAAGGTTCATCTCCCCAACTCCTGTTATCCAAACTGCTCCTATTCCACCTTTACTGCTGGCTGGGAACAAAAGGCCTTTGTATGGACAAATCTCCCCAGCTCCTCTTACCTTCTCCAGAAGGGCGCCAATTATAACAACACTATCTTGTATTCCTGTTTAGTGACACACAAACAGGTTGCACATACTAGACTTTGATCATATCACATAAAGACTACAACTGACTGTATGTTGTCAGTAGTACAGTTCAGTCTCTTCTGTGCGAGCAAGATTCCCATGACGCTGCAAGTGAAGTGAAGCTGTTCAGTGGCTGGATGCATGTCCTGCTGTAATCTTCCTGGGAGAACAGGAGAGCAGAGTTCACCTGCCTTTCTTTCACAAGAGAATTTCCAACTGTTCCGACAAGTTGAGCGGTATTATCCATAAAGTCTTGGATTTATCCTTCTCTATGTGCCTAAAGTCCTCCTCTAGTTCAGCTCTGTCCTCTTTAACTTGTCTCTCAGTTCACAGGAAAGCCCTGTGTGCTGTTGTGTGAGAAAAAACCCCTTAGGTTGGAAAAAAAATGTGTCTCACTGGTCTACCCAGTCCGGGGACGTCTCCCTTCAGGTTCCTCCCTTCCTGGGAGGGGACCTGCAGAGCCCGGCACCGCAGGTGTCTGATTACCTCTGCTCACTTCCGTGAAATGGCTGCTGAGGTAACAGAGCAAACACAGCGCGGGAGTCAGTCTGTGGTCAGGTGGCGAGCTGCAGAGGTCCATTAACCCAGCACTGCGGTGGGTTAGTGCAATACAGGGCTTAAGACGTGGTGATTAGTCAGCCTGGCTCTAGCCAGCTCTAGCTAACATGCTAAGACGCTAATATGTGTGATTAGCAGCTCATGAACACTCAGGCAGAGGAGGACTGAAAGAAGGAAAAATTACATTTAAATTCACTTACCTTAAGTCGCTACTGAGCTTTTACAGTTTTGCTTCAATCCGGAAGTTTAGTTTTGAGTACACTTCTTAGCTAAACAAAACTAAAGCTAACAAAAGGCAATACAATCTGTGTGGCAAAGGGAATTATCTAACTAATGTTAGTTTTTATGATAAAATCAAAGGGCAGAGAGATACAACTTCTGTAGTGTTTCTTATCTAGCTCATCCTTGATTTAACCTGCTCTAACCTTTGATTTTGATATTATTTTTTGTATTAATATCAAGAAAGTGCTTAGGAAAACACAGACTTATTCAAACTGTGGTTGCCCATAGCAACCAAAGGTCAAACTCCTCTATAACATTCCTTCAGGTCTAAGCTGGACCTACCAAAGGGCACACCTCTACCAAACTGTTTTAAAGTGCGCTTTTCAAATGTTTTGAATCTAGTTTTATGACTTCCTTAAATACATACTATGGTCTCCCCCTTCACAAGACCAATGACTAGAAAGAAAGAAAAACTACATGATGGCAAGTAAAAGAAATTGACATTTTTCATGACTCAAAATAGTGATGTTGAAAAAGGAAGTAATGCACCCAGCAAGGTAACTGCGTGAATTATGGCGATACTGTTGTAAAACTAAATCCCAAACGAGTATTTCTTTGTCACTGCTATCATTTTGTCACAATAAAAGTGGCCTAATACCACTCATAACTAAATTTTTAACTTAAAAAAAAGAAGCACTTTGTGTATTCAGCTGTTACAACACACTGAGAATACATCATGCACAACAGAGGTGTGTGTTTTTCTAATGAATTAAAATGGGTGACAATGAAGCCGTGCAACAGCCAAGTATGTGAGATGGATGTCACTTTAACAACAATGCAGAGTGTCTAATTCTGTACACATGCCTGGTGTTAACTGGTATGTTAACCCATTATGCCTACAGTCAGGGCAGTTATTGTGTCTTGAGAAAACAATGTGTGTCTTGCAATGATGATACTACCCGCCTAAAAACCACACCCGGGTAATCTGCCTCATCTTCTACAGGAATGAATGCCTTTGCTAGACAGCATGATGGTATGTGGACAGACTTAGAGATAGAAACAGTTTCTCCACATAATTCTATCAGATGACTTAGACATGCAGCTCGGTGGTTCTTTAATGGTACCACTTATTAGCATAATTAAGGCCTACAAACACCTGGAAACAAACAATGCATTGTTCACAGGCTTTTTTTTAGGAGACTGATGTAGGATTATATCAGTCACATGCTCTGTGGCTCTTGTGTTGCAACTTCTGCTCAATAACAAGAGAGAGAAACCACTCCAATTACTCCTTACAACCTGCACCACTGAAAATATGCGAATATGAGATCTTCCTGTCTTTGTTCTGGATGAAAGAGGTTTTAGTAGAATGATCTCAGTCAGTTTTGGCTTAAGACCCCAGTCTGAAGATTAGAATCCATGACCTGTTAATCCATTTCTAAGAATTCATGATCAGGTGGTTGGATGTGAGTGGAGAGAAATCCAATGAGAAGGGGTGGTGGGAAGTAGTGGGGGGGTAAGAACATGCATCACAGCTCATTTGTAAGTGTTTGTGCTGCTCATGTTTTGAGGGCCCTCACCGTGCACTCCAGCTTGGGACAGTAGGGTGTGTCCCCGATGATGTCATCCTCAGGCGGTGTGATGCGTAGGAAGTCGAGGTGATCGGGGCGCGGAATGCGGGAGAGGGGCTCCTGAGGGTCATCGCCATCCAGCATCCAAATATCATCCTGACGCAAGAGGGAATCATCTACAGAAACACACAAACAAACGAACAACCACAGGGTAGTTAACGCTCCGTGTTGTGCAAGGAATCAGAGAGCATGGAAAAACAAACAACAGCATAACAAGTGTGATCATGTGTGACAAGGCTAAATACGAAGCACTGACTGAGGCAAGTTGCTGTGTAACCTGCACGTGTGATTAAAGTAGAACAAGGTAGAAAGCATGCATCAGAATCTTTTAGCATTAAACAGGCAGCGAGAGAGACCCCTGTTTTGCTGCAGGCTTCAGGGCACGTAGCTATTTTTATCTGCACTTAGCCGACCCTGTTCCAATCGTCAAACACCAGTAGAAAGCCTCACTGATCCAATAAGGAAACAACGGCTACAGAGCACAGGGCCTAGAAAAAAAATACCGGTTTCTAATACTGATTTGCATGTTCACTGTAACAGAGCCGTGGCATGCCGTTGCTCAGCACTACCACTGTGCCACAGTACAGTCAGATGCAGATAGGTGTGTGTGTGATTTGTGTCAGCCTGTGCATTTAGTCATCCAAAGGCCCTGAGGGAAGACTTCACCTTAATCTAGACTGGGAAACACTGCCCTCTCCTGATCACATAGAGGATGATGAGCAAGCTTTGATCGTGAAAACAGCTAAAACAGGGTAAAAGTATATTCTAAAATTCAAGAAAAACTCCTCCCTCTGTCCTGTTTTTGCCGCAGTATGCTGTGGAGGCTGGATTCATTCTGTGCATTTCAGAGCACCTGGCCTTAAATATTTACTGCTCAGTGGCACACTGGAGATCCAGCCACGACTTGCAGAACTGTCCTCATGTGCTATGCCCTGAACAAATCACATGATGTTAACTCCAGGAACCAGGCTAGTGCCAGCAAGCGAGGGACACACATAGCAGAAATATATAAATAAATTCACATTCTTCTCTCGTGCATGGAAACATGATATATCTTGACTTGATGCATGCATTTATTGTCTCAAAGGAGTCAGTCATGTAAGAAAAAAAGGAGAAAATGTACAAGTTAAGAGATGTGGGGCAGGGACATTGAGGTGAAAGAATGAAGAGGAAAGAAAAGGAGGTGGAGAGAGAGGGGAAAGAACATAGTGCAAGTGAGAGGGGGGAGGGTATAGATCTTGAAGCTTGGTGACCTCTATTTCCTCTGGCTGAAAGACAACACCTTGACCTGGGCAGAATTATGTGCTGGAAAGCCAGAAAATCATATCACTTCCTGTTAGATAAGCTGCTAAAATATCCCATAGCTTCCCTTTGTAATGTGTACCCTTGAAGAGGGCATACAGTATTACTGTATTGATGTCCAGCAACCATTTCTAAGGACTTGGAAGTCCCCTTGTGTAGCTCCCCAGAGGCTGAGTCTCAGCCAAATGCTTTAAATTCAGTTATGAGAGCCCACACACACAAAACTAACTGGGGGGTTTCATTAAAAAATGGAAGCATTGAAATTCAACTTCAGTATTCTACCACAATCAGTCATTATGACACAGCAGCAATGCCTGCAGTCCCTCCAGTTATCTGGGACTTAGACAGCAGAGAAAAAAAGTAGGATTAGATTAATAACTTTTCATTATGATAATGCTGCACTGCATGGCCCCGCAGTGGGAACTGCTGACTGTAGGCTGGGCCACTTCCAAATGCAGAGTTAAGCCCAGACCGGGCCAAAGAAAGAAACTACTGATCAGAAACAGCCCTCTCCACAATTCCTGCTTCTTACTAAACTATGAAATACATAAAACAGGCAAACAATAAGCACATATTGACATATGCTTGCTATATTCCTTTATGACTCCCACAAACTATTTACAGTTAAACAATCGCGGGGGCTTGTTTGTGCGTGTGTTTTACATTGCTGTCAATCCCCTGAGGCACAAATGCACAAGCAAGCCATCGGTCACTTAATTAAGTATGCAGAAGGTGGAACACACTGCCACCATCTGGACGGGGAGAAGAAAAGGCACATCTGTCTCCCTGTAGTCAAACACACTGCAGTGAAGCTCTGATTTCACTGCTGTATGCTAGAAATAAGACACAGTGAAGTAACACATAAAACTGCAATGCAATGACTGTAAACTGATATGGAGAAGCAACTCTTAGGTGCATTAGGTAATGAAGGTACTGCATTTGTTTATTCAATAGCTGATTTATCACCCTCTTTACATGCACGCGCACACACACAGTGAGCTTAAGTTCACTGGCTCTGGGGGAAACTGCGCACTTATTGCCATTTAATCTCCCTCCCTGCTGCTCTAAAAGCCGAGAACGAATCACAGTGTCTTTAACTGAGGGGACACAGGGTGCAGATGGGATTGTGTTTTTGGTCTGACAGCAAGTAATGCTTTGCTAAATAGATCATCCCAACAGCAGTCCACCAAATACTGCCCATACACATGTCTACAGTACATACAGGTGTTTACTTAGAGGAAACTAGCAGGTGTTGAATGAAGTGCAGTAATCTCACAGTGAAAATTACAGTGTGTGAGTGAGTGTTTCTGCACTCCCGCAAGCATTATCATTTTAACAATAAAGTATCTGTATTTGGGGTGACTCAAAGACCATCTAATGTCTGATTCCGACAGGGGGGTGTTGTCAGTGGTGATGGATTAAACCACCTGTCACTCTGTCAGCTGGTCATCACTCATCCAGTGGTCAGGTAAAGCTTTGTGAAGGCTGTATTGGACACACCAACTGAGACATGAAACCAGAAAGTTATGCCCCAGTAACCATTAAAAAGTCACCAACTGTCTTGCTTAGTTTATAAGCAGCAATTAGTGAACCTGATAATTTGCTTCGTATTCATAAGGGACTATAACGGGCCAGCCAAGACAGAAGTATCTAAATGCACATCTACTGTTTAAATACATGGTTTTCACAAATGAACCCTAGTGTACCTCCTCCCACGCTACAGTTTATCATTCTTATTACAAATGCAACAGCTTTGCCCAGTGTGCCCTATTTTATCCACTAAAAATCTATAACCTCATCATTCAGGGGAAAAGAACTGGGCCATGTGGCAGGGCAATTGCATCTGGCAGCCTCCACCCCCCTCCATCACTTTTAGCCAGGAAGGAGGATCATAGACTTATATATAAATCATGAAAAATGCAGGATTTATAAATCACCCGGTTTCTTTTGCGCCTGTCACAGGCGTTACTCCACGCAGGCTTGTTGGCTGTGCATGGCTGTCAGGCTGGCTGATTGACGGACTGGTTTGGCTGTCGGTCCTAAGGTCCATGTAAGGGTTAGCTACAAGTGGAAACTCAGAGGAGAGGACCAGAGCAGTAATGTAGCATGACATGATGCTCACAGAGTCATCATTACTCATATGAAATGCAGTTCTGGATGCTGATGGGTATATACAGAACTGAGGAAGAGGGAAGAGTGCTCTCATCGGGCCTGGCAGGCCATTGACTGGGAGACAGGAAATTTGGTTAAGTTCACTTCAGTGTATGTTCAAAATAGTGGGACGCTGAGGAGAAGCCTTTTAAACCTGCTCATACTAAAAAGCATGCCATAGAACTGAGCTAACATTTGCCAAGGTGGTAGTGCAGCAGTCATTTATTAAAGATAACAAGTTACACGTTATATGAGAAGGACCTTTGTGCCATGTTTCCGTGTATGTAGCATGCAGCTCAGAGCAATAGTGTGAGACAGACGGAGAGAGACGCTTTTTTGGCCTGTTTTGGCAGAATCCACTTCATTATCTGAATAGAGCTGGCCCTTGTCCTGACTGGGTAGAACAATGTTGCATGGCAGGGCACTTTGTGTTGAATGACGGCTAGCAGGGAGAGCAGGGTGATACACTCTTGCTCTGCACTGATCAGTTTCATATGACCTTGCTGGAACGTATTGGGTAATCTGATTATGGTATTGCCTGCCATATGTCAGACAATAAAATGAGTAGGGTACTGAGGGAGAGGGGGTCGATAGAGAGAGGAAGACACTGGTTGGGCTGAAAAGTCTTTTTAAAGCTGCTATAATATGAATATTTCCCCCCTAAACTCTACAGAGCTCTTAGTTTATGGGTTAACTGGCCTGTAACTTGGGCTACTGTTTCATTTCAGTCTCACCAGTCTCATTATCATAGAGTTGATGGTCACCAGTTGGCCATAAACACAACGGCCAAAATGAATGCTAATGTTGCTCTGTATCTGCTAGATGTGTAAATAGGCAACTGCTTGCTAACAAGTTTCCCATTTTCACTTAAAAGATGTGTGTTTGTAGCTTGGTTCCACTGCCAACAAATGGCCCAAAAAATCTATTATTGCAGGGTTTTTGCACAGCTTTAAAGTGGGGTTTGTGTTGATAGTCCTTGTCAAAAAAAGTACAAGAGAAGAAGCAACACAACGCAAGCATAAAGAGACACTATCGGGCATACATTACATACTGTAGAACACATAAAACAACCATACACACAGCTTTAGTAAATGATATTCTGCTACACAGACTGCAGCGTGAGGGGATTAGCATATGAAGCAAACAAGAGAATTTGTTAATTTAAAATAAACATTCTCATCTGCATAATAATCACACTCATTTTTAAGCACAGAGCTTCAATGAGAGAGCACAGATGAAAGAGCCCGGATCATAATTAGTTCGACATTTGCAAACCATGAAGGGCCGGCCTTCACACTGACCCACTTAGCCATTTTGGCTGGACCCTGTGATGTTCATTTATCTGTATTAACATCTGAAGTGTATTCAATTATCAAGCAACGCAAGGGCAATCTAGTAAACAGCTCAGATGCAGTAAAATGGACAGGATTTGTTTTAAGATTAAAAGGTTTAACACTTCACTGCTAAAACTATGCAGCATGCACCATTTGGTTAGCATGAAGTAGGCAAAAATGTCAGCGTATCTTGCTCCTTTCATTTCATACAGACCGCTTATGGGTTCCAATATCCTATCACACAGTTACATCTGATGAGGACTTAGAATATTTTCCTGAAAAAAAAAAGGATTTAATAAAAAAAAATGCGTTTGAGTCTAATAACAAAAAATGTGGATTATGTGTGTGTGTGTGTGTGTGTGTGTGTGTGTAAATGGTAACGGTGGCATCTGTGTGTGTGTGTGGTGTCTGTCCATGGCTAGGTGAGGACACACAGTGTCATTTCAGTGGGAATTGATCCAAATCATCTCCACATGAGTAAATCCAGCACCAGTTAGCTTAGCTCCACACAGCTCAGCTCTCTTTCTCCCTCCGGCTGTTGCTGAGCTGAGCATTGCTGGCTGAATTGGTTGAGCTAGTGCTGGTCTATTACGTAACGACTCAAACACTTCCTTAAAAATACAGCATAATTCTTAAATTAGGGATACGACTGTCTACGTCTAACTGTTATCCACAGCCTGTTAGTAAATTACATTATCAATGCAAGGTCTTCTGTTTGCTACAGCAGATTAAAGCAAAGTGTGTTACAGTGACCCAGAGGAATGATTTACATTACAGAGGTAGCTAGTTCAATAATGAAATAATGAAAGCATCTGACCTACAGCAAAATAATAAACTTGGATTGTGCAGTTTGGAGTGATTCCAGCAAAGGTGTATAAACCTTAAACCAACACAGAAACCCCTTCTACTGTTCAAAGAGCCAAAGGAAACATAATGACCTGAGCAGTTATGCTTAATACAAACTGGTAAGAAAGGTGAGACTAGTGATTGTAAAGTGAAAGACAGAACTAAAAGTAATTAAAAGACCTAGATGAAAAGTTACACTGACAAACTCTGAGCTACAATGTGACATTATTAAGGCTTTGCAAAGATGCTGTGAGTGTTTAAAACCATTTATTCTGGCATTTGTAAGCATAAGATACAATAGTACAGATTATGAAAAGAGGAAAAGAGCTGTGCAAATAAGGATACTCTAATCCTTTCCTCTGTAACCCTTGTGCCCGCTGGGTCCCTGATCCTTTGTCATTTTCCCGTGAACTGGATAGGATGTGGGTTTTAGGGGAGGGAGAGCAGATCCCTCAAAGTCTAAATTGGCAATGCTTCAGTTAACACTCAGGTCGAACCATGTGTCAACCTCAAGCCTTTGATCTGGGATACTACGCCACTAATCTCTGCCTTCCCAGTGGCACTGAGAGAGTTAAAATGGATCATCAGCAAAACTATTCTCAGGCCCTGCTTGCCCCTTGTACAACTCTGTTGGGTAGTTTTTAATTTGTGGTCACACGTCTAAGCCAAGACGAGAACCCAGCAGTCAAGATCTAACGTGATTAAAACTGACATTTTTGGAAAACAACGCTTATTTATTGGTCTAGCTAGTTTGTTAGATAACAGCCGGAGTGACAGAGTATAACTCCCTTTGCGGAAAATGTCTGTCAGTTATGCTGCAGAGTAAATTGCTGGAGCATTTCAACAACAACCTCAAGCAGTAGGTCTGACACACACAGAGAAACAAGGACACACACTCACACTCTTGATCTCTCTCAAAGCATCTTTTTCTTGTTGTGTTCTTTGAAATTTCAGCAACAGCAATGCTGGATGAAGGGCATATCCTGATCGTGTCATACTACTGAGATGATAAAAGCACATTACATCAAGGCGGAGAGTTTGAACATGAATCAGTGTGTTCAAAGAGGGAGTAGCGTGGTCCCTAATAACTCACCTGTTGTTGTGGAGTTGCTGGAGGAGTTCCACTTGGAGTTGCTTGGCCGCCTGCTGAGGTTCAGATCCAGACGGGTGACAGTCCGCTTGTTGCCGTTCTTGTCGATGACCTCGGTGAAGATTTTGGGCTCGTCTGTGTTACTGGAGCTGTCTTGTTCGTGGTCCACATCCTTATCTGAGAGGAGTACAATGCGGTGGTTGAGCTGTGGGCTTGCCTGCTTGGAGGACAGAGGGGAGAGGACCGGGGACATGCTCTGGAGACTGTTAGAGGCAGGGAAAGATGTGTTGAAGACCCCAGCGAGTGAAGGTGAAGAAGGGCTCTTTGTGTGGGATTTGGTTTGGGGGTACGGTTCGGTGGTGTGGCACAGGGGCAACCGTAGCCCTTCAGAAAGCTTGTTAGCCGTCTTTTCTCTATTGACTCCCAGCAGGTGGTCTCTGTTTTGTCCTTTCCACTTTCCATACTCCTGCTGGCAGCTGCTAGTCTCCGGATGCAACACGGCTGGCCCTGCCCCGTCTTTGCTTGTATGGCTGACATGTTGCACTCTCCCCTCCACATCCTGCACTTTGGCCACCACCCTGACCCCTGTATTACTCTGGTTTATTTCACCATACAGCTGCTGAGCCGACTTGACTGTTGACGCATCCTCGGACAATGTCTCTCCCAAGGAATTAAACCTCTTAATTGGGCGAAGGTTGCTGCCACTTTCCCGTCGAGTGAGACCCTCCATCAGGCTGCAAAATGATGACTCATAACCCAGCTCACCGTCATACTCTGAGAAGTCACTGCAGAAATCCATGTCAGGGTCAAATGTCCGGTTGTCCTCCATGAAGTCCCAACCCTCTCGAGTAATCTGGAAGGGTTCCTCCATGGGCAGGATAGGATTGCTGACTGCACTGACGTAAGAGCCGGTGACTGGGCTGTCAGAGACATGGACAGACGGTAGGATACCTGGGATCTGCTCCACTACTGAGGCTGAAGATACGGACACAATGTTGTGAGCAGGTTCAACAGATGAAGTTACACCTGTAACTCTCTTCTTCATCTTACTGTGCAGGAAATCCTCAGCACTGTCAAGCTTCTTGCCACCCAACTTCTTCATTTTTTTGCTCTTGGATGCAGCTCTCTTATGCTCTGGAGGAATGGGGAGAGAATAGCTGCTGCTGCTGCTGAGAATCTGACCTCCAAGGTGAACTTCCTGACCCTCCATGTAATCCTGCAGTTTCCCATCCTGGTTACCCATCCTGACTTTGTTGGCACAAACCCTACACAGCGATAAGAGATCCGCCAGCAACTGGTGGTGCTCCGCCGCCAACCAGCAGAGCTCTGCAACTGCTTCCTTTGTTGCCTGCTGGGAGTTGAGGAGTTCGCCCGAGGAGTCTGAAGACTGGACTCTTTGTTCGGACACTCTGAGATCCTCCTTTCCCCAGTCATGGTCATTACCGGCCCTTTCTGAATGAGGGGCGCGGCTCTTGTACTTGAAGCTTGGGGCCCGCCTCTTGGGGAAATACAGGCTGATGTTGCTTAACTCACGGATGGGTGCATACAGGAGCAACACAGTGTGTGTGCCCTCCATGATGGGTGCCATGTTAATCACTCAAGCGCTCTGAGTGAGTGGTCAGTCCCCAGACAGAGTGATTGGGCTTGGACTGCACGGTAGGATCTCTGGCTATTCATCACCTGGCCTGTCCAGATACTGTCAGAGAGAAAGTAGCACATAGCTAAAAATCTGAAGATATATGCAATAACACATTAGTCCTACTAATGACTTTCATGCACTCCTAATGTCATACTGGTTATTCTTGTAGTACATGTACATTTTTAATGTAGAACAGACACTTTCTAACAGCTAGAGCACTTTAGAATAACTGGATGACAATGCAGAACTAGTTTTCAAGCATAACAATGCAAACTGGTCCTTTTCCAAGCAATGGGCCCTCCATATTTCACTGTCAAACCCCTTTTGTTAATTAAAAACTAAATACAATCCAGCACTGCATAGATTAAACTAGACAGTGGTTCTATCATACACTTACCTTCCTAACCCTATCTTATCTTCATCCTCCTCTCCGGCCTTGTCGTGCGAGTAGATGAAACATTTCTAAGCCGCATTTCATCAACATTTCACAAGCTGCCGCATAAAAGCTGAGTGTCACACAAGGTGACGACACACGCAGAAGCCAACGCTATGGCGGCCTTTTCAGATGTTTACAGGCAAAACAAGCGTAATTTGACATGTGCTATGGATACCGTGCACATTTCGCGACCTCTCTGAACTGTTTACATCATAACATAATCCCGTGGGTTACTGTCACCTTGCAACAAGCCCGAGTGCACTTGTCAGTGTTAAGATGGGAACACAATCACACTATCCCGCGGCTCACTGCTGCCAAATGCAACTCCAATCGCGAAACTGTCAGCTGAATTTATTATAAATTCAATTTTAATGCATGAAACTCCGCATTAGCCTCATATCAGCTTCAGTTTGATGCCATGTTTTAAATTAGAAGCTGAAAGTACGTTACAGTCAGTTGCACCTGCAGCAGGTAATGTGACAGCAGCAGTTCGGAAAAGATAAACAGTTACTTACCCGATTTAGTGGCATGGGAAATAATTCTTCACATCTCTGTGCTGCTGCAGCCAGCCAAAGCGCACCGCTGCCTTCACTGAGCTCTTCCGCCGTGATTGACAAGAGTTTGGTCCAATAGGCGAACTCAGCGCGGGCTCGCTGCTCTCTGATTGGTTGTTTAGCATTTATCCACATCCCACGTTTTGAGACAGTTGAGCTGCAGCTTGCAGGTAGGCCATGTGATGGGTTTCAGACCGCGCAGCGAGTGCGGTGGGAGACAAGTGTGGCTGAAATTGATTTAATGTATCTGTCGTAGCAGTTTGCAGTGTTTCCCAGGCTAACATTAGCATTAAGCTGTGTCAGGCAGAGATATAAGTGTATGTGAAAGTACCTGCTCTTTGAAGGCCGAGGTGGCGCCATTTCTTGCGGAACAGAGACACCTAGTGGTATCAACACATGTGCATCACTGTTAAATTACAGACTTTTAAACATTATATATTTACCTCCGCCAGGTAGGTTCATTGTTCAGTCACGGTTTACTTGTATTTCAGGGAGAAGTCTATCTCATATTTTATCTTTTATTTTTGATTGAATTTGACAAACAATGCATAAGAAAAAAGGGGAAACTATAAAAATATATAGACATGTATACAAGAAGATGCATAGATACACTGTAAGAGATTTCAGTGACAGACCATGCTATAAAGTTCAGAAAATGATGGCACACATCTGACTATCCTGGTTGAGTTTGTGAACTTATGGGGTCAATTCCTTTAACCTCAGATGGATCACATCTTGTATAAGGCCTTTAGTGCTTTAAGTATAACTTACTAATAAAATTCAAATAGCAGTGACACAACTAAATAGGGAGAGGGACACTGAAGTGTAAATGTAACCTGCTTGTTTCATCAAGCTGTTAATTGGGCATTAAAGAAAAAAAGGAAGGGAGGGAGGAAATCATCCACGAAGGAAGAACAAAGAATGTAACTGAAAAGAAGTGGGTAGTGGTAGAGAGGAGAAGCGGTGAATGAAGTGTTAAAAAAGACTAAATGAAGGAAGGAAACGTGCACTACCAGATGGGCAGGTGTTAGGTCACCACATTGACACTAGAGGGCGGCATTGCATCATGATAAGCGAGCATAATGTGTTTAATTTAGTTGTAGAGATGAGTAGGCCTCATTATGGCTGGACTGAGGGTCAGCTGTGAGTTGACCTGACTGACCACTGCTGTCACTGTATTCAGTCTACAGGACAAGTTAAATACGTTTTAAACATTTCATTCATTATTATTTTGTTGAGTTTAATCGCATTTAATGTGAATAATTGAATGGCTAGCTATTCATCCAATCAAATGCTGTAAATAGTTTAACACATGTACAATTAAATGCCACTTTTTCAGTATGGATTTTTAAAAGGTTTTCTCACATAATATAATTAGCTTTTAATAGCAAACACTGTATGCAGAAACACAGTGTGCAGATGATGTTTTAGGATAAAAACAACATATTTATTTCCACCCTAAAATATCGCAGATTTGTGTTGATATTGGAGGACGTTTGCCCTCATATGTCTGCTTTTGTTCCAGTTCAACAGTGCAAATAACGCACTCTGTGTATAGAAATACACGGACACTGATGCTAAGCTATGCCCATCACTTATCAAAAACCAAAAAAAAAAATCAATTCAACAACCTGTAAAATAAGCTGTGCTATGCAGTGGTTTGCGGTGTATCTCAGATGCAGGTCCCATACAGGAGGCTGCTGCGGGGTGCTGACCATGGTGCTGATCTGGACCAGCATACAGTACTTCTCACGCTCCTTATCACACATTAGCACGTTTTCTGTGTATCAGCGGCTAGGAGACGAAGGGCGGGAAAACAAATAGCAACGAGACACCCGTTGGATAGTGATTATTTCACCGCATTTAATACCCCTCGCGTTTGAATATTCGCGCTTTCACGGCTGTATTAATAAGGTCTGCCGGTGACGTCGAAGATAAAGACCCCGCCGCCGTCTCTCGGCTACGCGACTTGGCTTCTCCTCGTTTCCCCGCCACACCGTCCCCAGTCGCTCCAGCCCACCGATGCCGCTGCTGACACACACTCCTCCTCCGGGCGGTGAGCGGGGCTTGAGCACAGGGTCTTGAGTGACACATGCTGCGGTAGTCTTCCCCCCCCCCCCCCCCCCCCCCCCCACCCCGCTGTATGGACGTGGATTAGCTATATGCTAATATCGATAGGAGAGAGGAGCCAGCGGAGGCTTCCCGAGTCTGAACAGGCTCCTTTGCAGCCATGGCTGAAGGTGGAGAAGGAGAGGATGAAATTCAGTTCCTCAGGACTGTAAGTACATTTCCTGCCGCTCGTACGTGAAGCGCTGCTCCGGTGACTGTGTGTGTGTGTGTTGGGGGGATATGTGTGGCTCTCTTTTTCACGGTACTTTTGTGTGTGATTACGGCTGTAGATTGGTGTATCACTTGTGTCGCCTCACAGATGTTATGTTACAGCCTTTGACAACCCTGTGCCTCCTTGCAGATCTTAGAGGCGGTGATAGTGCTCCATTGTTTTGCGCATCGCTCACTGACAGCTATTGTCTTTCCTGCAGTCTCTTGTCTCAAGAAGTTGACAGCACTATTTCCCGTGCCATGTCAAACTTACATTATGCACCTCGCTGCACCGTTGTAGCCACAATTGCCTGCGGTTTGACAGGAATTGACAGCACAAACTCACTGCGATTTAACTTCAATTACTCACATAATTCAAAGGCATCTTGCAGCATCACTTGAATCTGTTTGAGGAAAAATGGAGTTGTGAGCCAGTGTGCATGCTGTATAATATATTCAAACGTGGTAGCCTGGCAGTGTAGGCTGCCTTACTGTCCAGACAGTCACCCCAGGGTTCCTGTGCAGCAGCAAAGGTCTGTGCAAATGAACCGAGCACAACATTTTGTAATAGATGCAGTATTGCCTCACAGATTACTAATGCTGTCTTACTTGTTGGACATAAATCAATGTAGACTGGTTTGTGTGCTCATAAAAGAGGCAATAATTTAGGATTAAACAGGCTGTAGACTGTTTGCTCCTCTTGCGTCTTACACTACACCACAGTGAAAATATGTGTCACTTGGTAAGAATATATTTCTCTAGCTGAAAATGAGTGTATTTTCGATTGGAAATGTCTGGCAGCGGTTGCACAGAGAGTCACACTTTCCACTGTTGACAAAGATAGATGATGACATGATCTGTTCATCTATGGTGAAATGCATTAAGAGGCGTAGCGTGTCTGAAAATACACGCTCGTCTAGGATAGATGAAGGAGCAGAGTGCTGGAGGTCTTCCAGATAGACCCAGAGACAGTAGGAGGTGTTTGGTTGCACATATGACTGGCACTGCTGCTTGTGGTTTGCCTTTATTAAGCTGCTGTCAGATGTGCAGCCTGCTGTACTTTGAGGTAAACGGAGCAGGGATGTTCTTGTTTTTCTGTAAATTACAATAACCCGGTTATTTTTTGTTGAGATTTCTCATTAAAGGCGCAATGTCTCTTCATGATCAACCACCTGACAAATAACAGTGTCACAATGTCAACATAGATATCAGCAGCTTCGTAACACTACCTTTAGATATCAGAGAGGCATAAACAACATACAGCAAGCGATGGATTCTTGACTAAGTCAGTGTTTTTTTTGCACTGAAAGGCTTACCTATCCCCAGTGAACTTTAAAATGTCCCTTTCTTTCACTCAGAAAAAGCTGATACCTCCTCCTTATTTGTCCTGCAGCCCCACCAACCTTTTAACCACAGCACATAGAGGTCAGCACATCAGCATGCCTGCCACTCCAAAAAAGAGCTGACATTTCAGCAGCGTTTCTCCTCTTTTCTGAGCTTGAACTTAAATGCCACCAATCCACAATCAGGATTCTTTAGAAACAAGCTTCATTCAAGACTTGTGGATTTAGTCATTTATGTTTGCTCGACTGTTCCGGTTCCGTTCGTTGGATTCACAGCCAGCATCTTTTCCCCAGATGTAACCCTGGGAGAAGAAGTGAGGTGACATTGACTAATAGGAAACTGCTGTTGCTTTAAAAAAAGGGCTTAGCAGCTTGTTGCATCCCTCCACACAAGGAAGCAGCTGACAGGCTCTATGGTGTTGGGATGGAGAAGCAGTGAACGGGCTTGGTGTTCATGAGTGTAAAAGTGGGTGTGTGTGTGTGTGTGTGTGTGTCGAATGCAAATGCGGAGCTGTAGCTGTGTGGTGCAGTCGGGCTGCACCAGACGTGCCACGGCAGAGCACAGTGCAGAAATTATTCATCAGTCCAAGCAAGGCACAGCTGAAATACTCAGTGCAGGGGAACAGAATAGATATACACATGGGCATGTACATGCACATATGCATATATTTATCTAGTACATGACTTAAGTCAGTCCTTCAGAAACAAATGCTCACATATGCCTATTCAGCCGCATGCATAGACAAACACACTCAGTCTGAACTTGCTGTTACATCGGTTGCACTACTGTAGGCAGTCTGTAAGGATACGTAGAGGCTATATTTTTTTGCCGGCATCCAAATGTTGCTTGTTATTGGAGTCAAGGAGCTTGATAAAGTAGTTCACAAACTGCCTTTTCTCTAACAACGCAAAGTAATTTCCCTGGAGTGGTAGCAGAAATTACCCCAGCCGGACCGCTGCCTATAAACCCAACTCAGTGGGAGGAAAGGAAGGGAAGAAGGGCTAAGAGCGAGGATATCTCAGCCACGGGTAATTTGATGTTACAGGAAGAAGAACGGTGCTGATTGTGAGCCAGGAGACTCAGAGAAAAAGCTTCCCCCAAACTGCTGTTTCATGTCAGAGGGGGCAAGAAGCTGCCGAAGAGTTTAATAAGAGCCTGAATATTCTAAAGGAACTTTACCCGTCCTGTTTGTAAATTGGATATGTCCTCAGATGCACCAGCTCTAGCAGCACGGGTTAGCTTCATTATAAGCAGTATAGTGAATAAAATATTAGCTTATGGTTACATAGCTCAGGCGGCTCATTATGTAAGAGTAGTTTTCTAAATGAATTGCTTGCCTACTGTGCGTTGTGTCAGTAGAGCATGGAGAGACTATACAAGAAGATTTGTAACAAACTTTTCTTCTTGT